ACTGGCAAAACTTTCGTTATGGGGAAAGCCTATATTAAACAGGGGACAATTAATGGCTCATATGATGAGGATGGATATAATATAGGATATAATACACAATTGACTTGAGAACAATAAAAACCAACATAACTATAATAACATAATATAAAACTAAAAACTAATAACATAAGTAAAACTAAGGAACGAACATTAAAACGAGCAGAGAATAAGTCTGAAAAAAAAAACATGTCGAAAAGAATATAAAAACTTGAATATATCAAAAGGCCGGCTGACCAAGTTGCCAGTAATACCTGTTCATTCTCCAAATTTTGCATATTTTGTATGCAATTTTTATTAAAATAACTATATATATTAAAAGCACTATTTAAATACTTCTAGCACTGAATTGCATCTCCATTCATTCCATAAAAGAAACAGAATTGTATTGGCATCAAAAAAGGATATTGCGTAAATTGTTCATTTTCTTACTAATTTACCTTAACGACCCATTAATATGCCACTGCCAAGCACGAGTCTCTCCCTATAAGAGGAGTATATAGCCTATTACCATCACGCTGACCATTTTCTTTCCAACTGCACGTTTATCCAAACTCGGTAAGTACAAGTTTAAATATCTCCAGCTAAATAACAAAAAGCTATAAAGAGGAATATATCCCTACAAAGTTTCTTATACAACTATAGTGATTATTTTTAGAGGAATAGATTATTAGTAACAGGAATTAACAGCCCCTTTGCTAGTAATATACCCTGTCAAGACGACCTTCACGCGGTCTCTCTAGAAATCATTGTAGTTAATTCCTAATATAATCGCAAATTGACCTGACTTCCCTATCACTTATCAATCATCCCTCATTAAAAACCCGCTGGCATAAACTTATATCGCAAGCTGAATTGCCATTTTATTTTTATCCATTTAAACATATTATATGTTGTAACCGTGTGGTCCCGGAATAGAATGAGACACCCCTTCCTTTCCCATGGATGTCGTAAGAGGCGACGAAGGAAGCATAATGGTCGAGAAGTGGACAAGATCCCTCTTAAAATATTACCAAAGCCTAACTGTAGATGCCAACCCATCTGCAAAGCTAGGCAACTACTAGCAAATTCCCCCCTTATGGGAGAGGTTATGTTCAATAATGGACAGTTAACGACTGTTACAAAAACATGTTATATGTACTTGCCCAACAAAATATCCCAGAAATCCACCTCATATAAGTTAATATCGTTACGTCCATTACAATAACACGTCTACAACAGAAATTAAATCACACATTTAATAATAAACTTTAAAATGTATTTATTGAACAAATAAACTTGCCGAATTAACAATGTGAACGAGGCATAGACACAAGGTTACCAGACCGTCGCACCCTCACGAATTACCGACCTCCCTGTTGGTTACTGAATGTTCTACCAAACAAGGTTCGAGTATAAACATATTATCCAAATGGTTTTTTGCGGAATATTACACTGTCCTACTTATAGTATATATATGTAAATTTTTGTTTTATTGTTTTTTTTTTAATGTGTGTTATTTATCACACTTCAATGAATTTATATTCGATACACAGACAGGCTATATTAATTATATTTACTTTACAAAATTCACGCATTACAGTAATAAATAGCAAAATCCACGAATTACAGTAAATCAAACAAAAAGGATCGCATTAATCCCTAAATGTTTTAAATTACTTTGTAATGTATTTGCAATTTTACTAAAAATATTTTAAAATATCTTGTATACAGTTTAAAAATCACCTAACGAAATTACTTAGCATTTCCAGCCTACAGCTCTAAGATGACTTGATGTATTACCTACATAGCGCTATCTAATCCCACGTCCACTTGACAACTGATAGATATGCTTAAATGTTTTTTAGAAAACATCTAGACCAATTTAAATAGACATACTGACGAATACAAATGTTTGTATTATGCGAGATCGAATCCGCAACCATCGGAAGGTGAAACAATTTGTTAAACCGTTACACCGCCAAGGTCATCATTTATATATAATCCTATATATTTGATAGTGTAAAATGTACTTACTAATAAAAATTAATATTTTTTATTCACTTGCAATATTTTTTTTAACGTCAAACATTACATGTAACAAGTGATCCTATTTCTAATACCATAATTGAAAATGCATTATCAAATTTCTTAATTTACTTCTGGCCAGAGGACCAAGTACAGTCTTCTTCTGCTTTTCTCCTAACCAATCTATATATCTCAAACACGAAGACGAAGTCGCGAGTAAAAACTGGTATTATATAAATATCTCGGATATTACATTCACAGTTTTATCTACTAAAAATGACAGTATAAATAATACTACTAAAAATAGAATTGAACATTTACAACCCTTTACCACGTGGGACCAACTGTTTTACGACAAAAAAACACACAGCTGAATCAGCGTTTACAACCGTATTGAATTCTGTCTGCACTTCTTTTCAACGTGCAAAAAGACATTACAGTTTACTGTTAACTTGATTAACTTTCAGAAAAGGCTCTATCCCCCGGTCGGGACTCACGCGACGTCGACAATAAGCTACATTAAGAATACTTAAATGCAACCACGATCGATAATTGACTTTCATGTGGATCGATACAAAGAAATCAGTAAAATATATGCTCACGACTTCAATGTTGTATGGGATAATAAGAAATGTTTTGCAGTGAAGTAATCAGCTTATCCGTTCCGCCGAGCTTAATAGGTTTTTTTAATGGATAATAAGGGAATAGTATTATCGCCGGCGCTAACGGTATGCGTTGACGGGTTACCAATGAGGGATGATAGGTGAGAATGAAAAGGCAGGGCAGTTAGCCCATCGTGGAATACAGCATGATGGTTTCCAGGGGGAACCACGTGGAGGTAGACCTGACGAAATATATTGCTAGTAATGGGCCTGGTAGCCAGCATTACTAACAAGCTTCTCTAGAGTTTTTTTTTTTATTTGAATTGTTAACATTGTTTAACATCACCGGACAGTTAGATAATTAGAACACAATGTCTTGCTCTCGGCCAGACTTAAACACACGACGCTTTACCACGTTCTCAAAAAAATCAATCTATTAATAGTACTTAAAAAGCCGCAAACTTTTTGAAATCATCATACTGGTGGTCCAGTTTACTACTAGTGCATCCAGTTTATTATTATGCCGTTAAAATTACTCCGTATTATCATATTAATAACTTTGATTAAAGTTACAATCATTCACACATACTAATTCAAGATTCCTTAGTAATCGTAGTAGCCTTACAAGTATGTTGAATAGTATTTTCCATTTAAATAGAATGTCATTGTGCATCAGATTCCCACATACATTGCATGTATATTGCAACGATGTACTTGTAATACTTATTCAGGTCATCTCGTAAGGAATTCTTGTTATCTTACCATCAACCACGACGCTAACATTTAAGCAATTTTATTGTATAACATCTAAGCTCTCTTGTTATGTCATATTGTAGTTGACGCATAATTCAATGATTTTCGTAACAGCACCACCCCAAATACCAGGGGCTAATGAAATAGCTGGCAGTAAATGTCACGTGACACGTGAATTTCGTGACCTGAAAACGTCGTAGCCTGTACACACCTGACCCGCCTATTGTGACGCCCCCTTTTACTTTATGATAATAAAATGGCTTGTCTAGAGAATGGATGGTTTCCTTTATCGATAAAAATTTGCTATTGGTAGTATATAAGAGTAATTTACCAGATGATAATGGTAAGTTGATTCTATTCATTGGCCTATTTTATTGTATATTTTGCCAACAATAGATATTAAAAGGGATTTTATATCTACAATGTATCTTTAAGATAATTTATTATCAAGTCTAATACAATAAGCCGGAAAAGTTTATTTATTTCTTTGAACACGCTAATCTCTGAAAATACCATTGGGATTTAAAAAAAATATTTTTGCGTTGATATCTCATTTTTTAAAGAAGGTATCAACATCACTATACGATTACGGGAAAAATATTAATAGTAAAGTTATAGGGTATATTGCTAGCAAAGGAACTGATAGTCCGCATTTCCCTTCAATCAAGACAATCCCCCCCCCCCCCCTAAAACTTACCTTAAGAGGAGTCAAGAGTTTTTAGAACTGACGACCACATCTATGTAACGAAAGTACACAAAGAAGTATATAAGAATATGAGGATCAACCGTAAAGCAGTTGTGTTTGCATGGCTGTATTTCGGTTCGAAGGGTGGGATATGGCGTGAATTTACAGGGTACAGAGAAATAACTCCTGACTCCTCAGGAATGGCAACGTATGGGTTAACATGGGCAAAACGGTATACTCTGTTAAGTCCATGGTACTGCTCATGTCTATAGGCGACGGTTACTACTTCCCATCAGGTGGGCCGTCAGCTTGTTTGCCATTCTAAGTTGTATAAAAAAAAAGATAGTGTCTTTGGTGTTAGCTTTCAAATCTTATATACACATTTAATTAATCCCGTACACTAGAGTGATATCATGCGATGTACAAGAGTTGAGAGACTTTGATGAGGTTTTTTTGTATAAATGTTTACTACTAGTTTACGGTAACTACTACCTACTACATTCCATTACGTGGAAGCCTGTTTATTAGTTCGAGTGATGAAAACAAAAACAAAATTCCACATGCAACACACCTTAAAAAATATGAATTTTGCTTGTTGGTTATTTACCTCTAGCAAGTATAAGTTATAAGAAATGCTATTTTAAATAATACTGTATCTTATATCTTTAGAATTCAAGTTAGAATATATCATGGGCGAAACAGTATACTCTATTATGTCCATGGTACTGCTCATGTCTATAGGCGACGGTTACCACTTTCCATTAGGTGGGCCGTCAACTTGTTTGTCATTCTAAGTTGTATAAAAAAAATAGTTTTTAAATTATCCACACATTAATTTGTAGAACGTTGAGGTATGTGAAAATGTTTATATTCAATTGAAACGAAATTGACTCAGAATTATTTATATTTAATTCCAGATGGATGGCCCCAGTGAGCTTAGCTATCCATGCGCCGGGCGCCGATCTAATGCCTACAGTCAACAGCATCAGGTACCTACGAGACTGTTCGGGGAACGATCTCATACGCCAATTCGTCACTTTCCACGTCTTCTTCTCGAATAAACATATACCTAGTAACGTAAGTAAACTATCCGTGTTAATAATACGAAACAGAAATTTATTGATGCTATTTTTAATATTTTCGATACTCAAAGTGTTAGTTCTTATAGTCCTAAAGAATTCAAATCTCCAATTAAAATAAATTCCAGTTGTAATTCTTTTATAAACTGGCGAGGCACTAGTGAGTGGTGATAGGTGTAAACGAAGTCAGATCAGTTAGGCCATCGTGACGAATTTGACAATAATTAATCACGATGGTTTCCAGAGAGAACCGCATGGAGATCAACCTGACAGGTGTATTGCTAACAATAGAAGTAACGTCCCCATTACTGACAATCCTTCTCCTCCCGATTATGTTAGTTTAATAAATAGCACAATAATATAATTAAATATTTAATAATTCTTTATTACAGATTCCTAATCCAAATAGCTTTTTAACGACGGCATACAATTGCACCGTCCCAGCACCGTTTTCGAACGTCAACGTTTCAGCAACATATAAAAAGCAAAAGGGACTGTTGTATCCAGTGAACGTCGCACGGAACATCGCAAGAGATGCAGCTTTGACACACTATGTACTAGCCTCCGATATAGAGTTGTACCCAAGCCCCAACTTAGTTCCTCGTTTTTTGAACATGATCGCAAGAAATGCCAATCCTTTGAACAACTCTATTAATCCCAGGATATTTCCGATAAGCATATTTGAAGTTGACGCCAAAGTTCAAGTAAGTTAAACAAAGATTGAAATTAAATTAACCTATGGCTCTATCATAAAACATAATTTCAAAGTTTACGACACGAATATTAAAAATTAATTTAAAATTACATTTAATTCGAGTTCATAGAGAGATTCGTCATAAAATCTATAAATTGTACAAATGATCGAAATTGTACCACTTTGATATCATTTCTATATTACGAGTATTTAGTCATGTAAAAACAGTTCATATTCCGTTTCGCTACGAAATTTCGAAAAATAATTCATGACTAGTGATTTAGCCTGGCTATGCATAGGTAGATAGAATTTTCTAAAATAATATATAGCCTATAATATTGTTCTTTTATATATTACACAATTTTTACAATCGGTTGAATAGTTTTTAAGTTTATCCATAATAAACAAACAATAAAATATTTCCTTTATCTTTATAATATAAATATAAAAGTATAATGTATCCTTTATTTATATTAAATGTAAATTTTAGGTGCCATCTACTAAAACAGAACTTCAAGCCATGTTGGCCAATAAAACCGCTATACCCTTCCACAAATATGTGTGTCCGGATTGCCACAATATACCTGAAGGTCAACATTGGATGAAAGCAACAGAGACCTCCCGTAAGTATCATCTAGCATTTATTACTTTATCACTAATATCCATTAATTATTAAGTACAAAATGGATCAATAAATCTATTATTATTAACAATCCTTAATTATTACAATGTTGGAAATGCCGCTTATGAATGCTTTTAATAATTAATCATAGTATGGCACAACACGGTCTTATGGTAACGATATGGTATAAAGACACTGCTAAAATACAATTAAAAACCTGTATAGTCTAATCTTATGAAATACAATTGTATACATTTTGCTCTCTTATTACTTATATCGTGACATAAAAATGCATTGCACTACGCTAAATTATAAATGCATAAAATGTAACTTTCATATCTCATGGCCTTTTCAATGCACCATTTTAAAAGCTAAAATAAAATGTGCTCCACAAACGAGAATACCTCAAACATAAGTGATAGTAAAGTTATAGCCATGTTTAAGAGAGATTTACTTTGGAGGTCGTAACAGATTTACTGTGTAAAAGGTAATAGTTCTATAATATAATTAAAAAACAAATATTGCATATCTTTTTGAAACTATCTATGAAAATATTCAATGACAGCTCACCTAATATTGATATACATGAACAGTACTCTGGGCATCATTGAATGTACATGCTATGACAACTTATGGCAATTATACCGTCGCTCTTGCTTTATTTTTTCTAAGGAATGAGAACTAAAGTATTATGATACTAACCTAACATAAAAAATCCACAACTAGACCTAATTGGAAAATAAACTTTAAAATCAATGGACACCGAGTTTGTGATAATGATCTAGGTACGACACTGAACATTCATAAACATTCATTAGACATTCAAACTGTTCCTGACTGTCAAAATGAAAGAATAAAAGAATATTTTGTTAAATCGTTATGGTATATTTGTACCACAGAGCTATGAACAAAATCTTGAAACAATACCTCTATCACCTTGCCTCTATATCATTTCATCAGTTTCGTATACACGGCAGCACGCCGGTCGTTACATTGTTCTCGCGGCGTGTATGCCTTGACCGCTCTCTTTTATTGCCAAAAGTGTCTCGAATTGGCAAAGTCTGACGTCTGTCGTGATGCAGTAGCAATTAATCGCGGATGCTTTTAGTGCGTGAGCTATTTATGCCGTCTGTAGCATAGCATGGTCGTCGTATGGGGCATTCTAATTGCGTATTATGGTTCAACGACCGCGCCTTACCCGCCCGTTCCCAGACGACCCGACCGGCTCGAACTTCTTGCGCCAATTTGTAAAATCGCATGCACGGGCTGCACTTTGCGTAATTTCCGTAATTTCGTATTTACTTACGCGATGCTATCGGCCATTGACTATTTCATATTGATTCCTCTTAGTCTTACGTATACTTATAATATTACGACATAGTTTACGAATATATATATATATGTTTACAATTTTGGATAATATAAAAAAAAACTGTTATTTGTATTTCATGGCATAGTCAAATGGCCAAATTGGAACCTAGCTGTTGAGGTTTTATTTAATACTATTGTTTTAATAGAAATTCTGTTTTCTCTGTGTCAAATTTTTTTTAGCAAAGGAAATGTCATTACGTTTTAATACACGATATCTTAATAATGATATACCCGCGATTTTGTCCGGAATATGTTTACTGGCCCAGATATAAAGCATATCTACTCCTCTATCTCATATAATACGTATATAATAAATTTCATAGTGATTCGTTACACCGTTATAAGATAACAAACAAACTCTCTTTCACATTTATAATATTAGTAAGGATTTATTTTCGGTATTTATTCTATCCAATTCCAACCTTTCACACTATGTGTTATAAATTATAATTGAAGAATTGTTGGTTTGTCCATATGTCACAGCATTATTTATTTATTACATCAACTGGATGAGCTTTACAGTCTCTCAATACGTTCACCCAGGAAAGCATCATTACAAAATATATAAAAAAATATTAACTAAAAATAACATTAGAACCTAAATCTCTGAACACAAACACTCTATAGTCATCCGACGAAACTCCAGGAAGTTGGAGGCAAATACATATAATTGCGGATACCTTAAAATATCATTGAGTAGTTACAATGCAAGAGACGGGAGCTTGCTTAACTAACTTCTTAATGGAATATAAAATAAGTGCCGTTTACGTGCTCGCACGTACTTATTATGACGTAGACCACCATAAAACGAAACAAAAATAAAAGAATTATTTATAATGATAATTAAATTCCCAATGCCCAACCCATACTCGTGTAATATGATTTTCCTCAATCTTAAACGGCGACCATTCTAAATATAAATAAACGACGAACATATCTCTATAATCAGCAATGTGACAGTGGATTGATGTTGATGACTATATGTTTTACAACCCTCGAGTTTTGTAAAATTGTCTTTGTCTTTATTTTATTTATTATACCTTCAGATACGACATGACCCTAGTCTATTTTTTATGAATCTTTTATCTAATTCAGCTTTTATGATTTTCAGAAATGGACGTATTCCACGTTGGTAAGAGGCAAAAAAAGTTTGTACATTGGGAACCTATATTCATAGGCACACATCAGGATCCACATTACGACGATAGACTTAGTTGGGAAGGCAAAAAAGACAAAATGACCCAGGTCTGAAATTATTAATTTTTCATTGTCAAATCATAATTTAGTAACAGTGATATTATACTAAATACCTTCCTAAAAATGAATGAATAGCCGCATGGCCACTTCTTTTATACAGTCGCTATTCGCTCTTATAATTTTAGTACCTTTTTAGTTTACGTTACATACAATAACCTACTGCACGTTGGACCAAAAATTTAGATACTCTAAAAACATTACACTCCTGTCCTCGGCAATCAGTTAAAAACAAAACGTTAATTAATGATTTAATTCTAATTTAATTTAATATCATACAGTATTATACATTTTGTGTATGCGTGTGTGTGTGTGTGCGTGTGCGTGTGCGTGTGCGTGTGCGTGTGCGTGCGCTGGCACGTGCGCGTGCGTGTGTGTGTGTGTGTGTGTGTATGCGTGCGTGCTTACGTGCGTGCATGGGTGCGAGTGTGTACGCGTGTGTGAATATACAAAATATTCTAAACTATTTTCGATAATCCTTTTTGGATTATTCCTCCTCTAACGTTGGAGTTTGCACCTATGTTAAATTTATCACACTTGAAGTTACGTTAAGTCTTTGGAAACCTTAAATTATATCTATAGATTTATTTTATTCGAACACTTATATAGGTGTACGATTAATTGTATTAATTATTCATAATGCTTTTATTTCCAGGGTTACATCCTCTGCGTCCAAAATTATGATTTTATGATCTTGAATAATGCTTTCTTGACGCATAAACCTGGCATTAAACATTATGTAAAGGATGCTAAAAGAGATCAAATTGCAGCTAAGCAAACCAGTTTTGTGAACAAAGTCATCATGCCGGAAATAAAAAAATTATTTGGAACCAGACCAGGTTGTGCTCTGTGACGAATACATTGGACAAAGTAGATAAAACTTGGATAAAAGTTGGCACCAAAATTATGACGTTGAAATGTCATAAACTAGGTGATCACTAAAAAAAATAAACTTATCATAAACAATAAAATAAATTTCAAATGTTTTCTTTAAAAAAGTGTGACATGTAACCGATCCAAAAAATACAGGGTGAACTAAATAATACGCCTCTTTAAAAAAGAAATGTATCAGTGTAAAAAAAATACTGTTCTAAGCTAATTTTAATTAAGCGTAATTTTCTATTTATAAAGACACTACATACTGTACCTACCATTGAACATTAACCCCATGGTTATTGGACATTAGTTTTAAAAATCATTACAAATCCATTCAAAGATCTTAAGTACCTATATTTTGTTACTGTAACTAAATATACCGAAATCATATTAATAAAATTAATAGGTACCTATATTGATGCAGTCCTAAAGTAATGTACTTTTTTAATTCATTTAAAAATACAAGTAGCAATTTATAACAATTCCGATAATATGATTTATCGCAAATTTTAATTAATAATTACGATAAAATCATTATTACTGCATCGTAAATAGGTTATAATCACTACAGTGTAACCTATATGCATACGTATCTACATGTCTAAATGAAAAAAGTGATAATTTATTTAATAACTAGTTTTTACCACGACTTCGTCCGCGTAACTATGATATTTTAGAAAGAGACAAAAAGTATATCTATGTCTTTCTCCATCCCAAATACTATGTGAATACAAAATTTTTATAAAGATTGATTGAGCCATATAGTGCCATGAGGAGGACGCCAATTTGATGTCGTTGGCCTAAAATTTTGTTGTATCAACGCATGGTATTATACTATAATGAAAGCTCAAGGAAAATATACCAAATACTTATTCTAAACTAAAAAGTGTTTGACGAAGATTACGAATCTTGTCATAGGGGCCTTAACACATATACATTTTCAAAGTGTAGAAAAGTAAAATACCTAGTTGTTTTACAATTAGCCTGTTACCCATATAAATAGAACATACATATATTTATAAAACAAAGAAAATAAATGATCTTAGATTAAAACAAGAGGACCTTTTGATTCAGTCTAAGATTTAATCATATATTTTCTATAGTGATCGGTCCAGAAAAAGTATTTTGTGAAATATTTAATGTAATATGTATGATCCTTTAAAAATTACTATAGAAAGTATATCTGAATAATAACGTTTCTGAAACTTATTATTATATTTTATAAATATATGTGGTACGGGCTTAACCTACGGCCTATATTTACATATCTTTTATAATAATCAACATTTTGTATTTATATTTATATTTCTTCTTGTCTTCTTTAAATGTAAATATATTTTTAATCATAAGGTAACGTTGAACTCAAATGTAAGACGATACTTGATAAGTTATATACCTTTCAAAATCTTTATTTTTTTATGTGATTAGCGAATAAATAAGCTTTCTAAGTTTTATATTAGACGCTAACATAACTGTAGCGTGTACTAGTAATATGTACTCGTACTATAACTATGCTATATAATAGTAGTATAGACTTCTTATATACATAGTCAAACAATTCTACTCAAATAGTTTTTTTTTTTTTTTTATAATAATTTCGCCTATAAAATAGCTTTCATTACGTATGATATTCTAACAGAATAAATAAATGGAAAATGTTTCAATTTTAAACAAATTATTGATTTTTTACGTCCAAAAAAGGAAAAATTATGCATCATAAAATTATGGTTAGAAATATTACGTTTATTTTTATTAGAAAACAGGCCTAAAGTTATTAAAATTTTATATATTTGCTGACGCAAATATAATTATTGTAATCTAATAAGTGTTCTATAAATATGTGGTAAAATTTTGGCTAGTCTCAGCTTATTATTATTAACGGTATAATTAGTCTAAGAACAGCGAGACATATCAACGTAATACGTATAATATTGGAATTCCTTGTAAGCATTTTTAATATATGTTTTGTGCCTCTATATACCCCTTAAGTAACTGCTATGTATTTATTTATGTGATGTATACTGTTAACCAAGTTTTTAAACTACTTTGAAAGAAAACTTAGATATAAATATTAAAGGCAAAATGAAAAGCGCACAAGTATATGAAAATTCAATTAAGTAAACAGAAGATGAGCTTTTTTGTCTTCAGATAATACAGACAATTACAAATAATGGTACCTTCTGGAGTCAGATATAACTTTTTTCTTAAATGTTCCTTTTCTAGATAAAATTTACGATTCCTTTCAATATATGTGCCGCTAAAATATTTAATAAACAATTTTTCGTCACTACTCAAATAACAATGTGACAGTCACTATCAACGATACAAAGTAATTACTAACTTTGTATCTCATGAAATTGTCTACAAAAACATATCTTATATTACTTTTCTAATGATTTACATAATAGTTCGCCTAGCAATGTATTCCTTCTTTATCTGTATGTATTCTCTTATAATTAATTATACATAGTGAAATCGTGTATGGTCTAATCTTCAGATGCTTAGAGCTCCGTAAGTTTAGGTATGTCACTTAGTACACATTTGCAATATTTTTTATCTGTATTCTGTTTAAAACTTTATTTGTCCTCGGATTTAAATCTATCTAGACTAATCAGTATGGATAGATTTATATCCGAATATGATTCTAGGTTACATCCAATGTAACCTTAAATTTTGCATATAAATAAAGGAATTTATGCAAAAGTAAAGAAAACATAACGTATGTTTTCTTTACTTTTGCATAAATATTATTATTTATTCATATAATAAACGCAAACGTGTACTAAGCCACTTTATACGTAATGTGTGATGGGCCTTAAGGTATTAGTGATGCTATAATGTAATATAATTCAATATCAAGTGATGAAACTCACCACGTTCGAATAATTTAGTTTTATTTAGTTTTAATCTTATCTTTTTCTTTTACTAATAATTATAGTTGAGATTACTGTTTTTTGGCTAACATTTCGTCCATTTTGAATAGAAATAATATTTTGTATAGTTAAAATTTTCTGGACCAATACATTTATATTGTATAATCGATTTAAGTAGCCAATTGACTTATTTATTCTACTTCATATTTAGTTTAGTATTACACTCGAATTATAATTCGAGTATTTCATTTAGTCATATAGTCTTTTGCAATAAGAAAAAAAAAAAAACATTTTTGTACTTTGTCTCAGTAACTTATTATCTCTATTAATATGTTTAAATTGTTTGCAATTGTCATTTGTTACTATGACAAAGTATTAAATGTTAAAGTACATTTTATTGCACTAGACTTGTCTAGTATATAATAAAAATGGGGTTTGGTAATGGTAAACGCATGTGGTGAGTTTTCACTATGGCAATGTGCCTATATCTTAGTTTGTAAGTGCAATAAGTATGTAAATCTCTTAATGTGATCATTTACGAAAGTCTATTTATGGAATTATGTAAGTAATTTACCTTTTATATAAACGATTTCGTAAAAAAATCAACTGATAAACATGTAATCGGTAAAACTCAAAATAAATGAATTTCAAACGTGTGTTACTTTTTTATTTATCGTACGTTATGTTTAACTCCAACATGAAAATCTACTACAACTATGTCGAACTTAATGCAGACTGCGTAATCCTTAGTAGTCATGTAGAAAACAGAAATATAATATAATACTCATATTTAGCCAAAAACTAAGCATATGTGTTTGACCAGCTATTTTGCAGACGTCACAGATAAACAACAAACTCGTAATAGTAACAATAACATACCTTATTTTAATTTTTAGACCATTTAAAAAAAAACTATATAATACACTCTATATAATAAGTAAATTAATTGATGAACTAAGTTAGCCAATAATATTCTAATGAGTAGCTACGAGTAGCTATTTAAAATGAATTTTAATTAAAAGTCGACACAATAAGGGTTTTGAGTTAATTAAAAGCTAAGCAAACTGGTTTCTTATATTTATAGTCAAACTGTAATTTCGCATTGGTGTATTTGATATACTGTCCAATTATTCCAAATATTTAAAATGTTTATGCCCATATATATTTAAAAATTACAACGCTACTTCAACTTACTATCACACTCAACGTTATGTGAAGACACCAATCTATTTTCCATTTCGCGGAAGTTGACCGTTTGTAGCCAAGCCCTGGACCAGGAGGGTAGTGGCTATCGGGAGGACGGCTCGAGTCTTTAAATCGTGCGAACTCTATTATATGTTTCTATACGATCCTTAGCGGAGGCTCTACTTCTTGTTCCCGCTGACCAGAATCTGCTTGTTCTCTGTGCGTGTCGTCTTGAGAAGATTCCTGTTGATTTTCTTCAAATTTTTGTTCTCCATTGCTTTTTGGAGAACAAAAAGCTCTGCATATTTGTAATTTCTTTCATAAGAATTATATTTTGTAGGCAGTATTAACCCTGAAGATATGAGTACTGTGTTGAAATTGGGCATTTTTAAAATTGAAACAAGCGTCACATTAAAAATACGTAAAGTTGATAATCTATGCAAAATATTATATTGTGAAATAATTTAAAATAATATTGCGCTTGAAAATGGCAACAGACGCATTGCCATTATCACGTCAATAGTTTATTTGGCATTATTTTATTATCTTTAATTCTGAAATATAAATATGACCTTTATTTCTAGTATAACCTTGATTACGATACTAAAATACTATTAGGCAAATTACCATACATGTTACTGTAAGTATTTAATAATTACAATATAATAGATATAGATTGTAAGTCAAAAACCTAATGAGTTATTAGGAATAAAAATATCTAATCTAACAATAATTATAACTATCATTGAAGTACATGTAATTAAGAAATGGGATATTTATAAAATCTGTGTTATTAAAAAGTGTTTATATTTTCTAGTAATGTAGACTGTATAATTTATTTTCTTTGCTATTGATTTCTCATCAGGCGCATTTACAATCATAACTAGGAGTACAAAATAAAATAGACTCTATATAGCACTTCGATTCAAAGTTCTTACGTACAGAAACATTACATGTAATGCTTCTATACAGTATACTAGTACACAATTCAATGTTCAATAAATAGTTTTTGTACATCAAGGCGAATAGTTTAGTAGTGGGTCGCTTAATTTTCATATAAATTGAGCCAGGTATATTATGCATTCTTCGTTAATATCTATTTATTTATATGTATACAATTACTGTGATCATAACAGCTTAGACGAATGAATGAATTTCCAAATTGATACGCCCTTATCCTAGATGATATATGATCATATTATTTTATATACGGATAATAATGGTATTATACCAGTCACTTGCACAGTCACGTGGGGTATATACGTTATCGACTGGTAATGTACCATTTATTTTCTTCTATACTTATAAAGAGAAAATGTATGATTTTGTACCTATGTTTTATAATAAATAAAACCAAAAACTACTCAACCTATTTTAAAAATTCTTATGTCTATAGAAAACTACATTGTCAGGTAGTAACATAGGCCACATGTTATTTTTAAGAAAAAATAGAGAAACCTATGAAAATTACTATAATGGAACTCAAAGTAATAAAAACTTGCCTGTAAAAACTAATGTAAAATTTTAATTTATATTTCTATCTATTCACCTGTACGAAATCAGGGTGGATTGTAAGTTACACAGGTAGTTAATTAGAAAATAAGGTGAGGTCAATAGTTCTCCATAAAAAATTCACCAAGAATTAGTCATGGAATCAAGAGGGATCGGCGTCAGTTCAACCTGATGAATATATAGCTAGCAGTAAAGTTGTTAGTCCTCATTACTAACAATTCCTTCCTATAATCAATATAAACAGTAAAAAAGCAAATAAATTTAAAATAAATCAACCAATAGCGACAATTCAAATTACAGGCAGAATTACAGGCAGAATTCCAGACAGACAACTACAAGAATACAAATCAGCTAGCGGCCGAGATAAGGAAGCTGATCTGTAGACAGGACGTGAGCTGCATCGCTTAGCTCGTACTACGGTTTTCCCCTATTTGGCTGAATTTACTCATAGTATAACGGTAGATAGGTGCAGTCATAAAGATAGTTCCGTTGAGTTGCATTTCACTTGCTAATCCTTGCATCCAATGTATAACGGTGTTATTTAAAAAAATGCAACCCAAAATCTAGTGGTTATAGATACGTATATAAGAAATTCAGTAACTTTTCGTACGAAAGGAAATAAAGTTAGTAATAGGATCCAGTAGCTATCTCAAGCAATGTACCTGACTTCATATTTACCTAATATCCCACACTAAAATCGGGCGTTTCACCAACGTGTACTGCATACCATGCAGGGGTTGCCAATTAATTTATTTTTTAATTCTTAGAGATTTTTGTGGTAACCAGTACCTATAAACATGGATATCACAGAATACACTGTGATGCTCACGGTAATCCTCATCCATTGGCATTCCTCAGAACTAAGGAAATATGTCTCCGTACTCTGAAAATTAATTACCACCTTCCATTTTTCTAATTGAAATTGGCTATACAATAACTGCTTAAAGTAAAATCATATGTGGAACAGAAATCACTTTGACGATTTTTTGTACAGAAACTTCATCTGTGAAACTAATTACCAACTAATAAATAATTACAAATCAAGATCAATTATTTTTAAATTAATCGAATGAATTTTATACACTGCTACATACTCTACATGTATCTACCACTCTTTTTAATCCCCAAAATACCGTAAGAGATGACTAATAAAATAAAACATACCAAATAAGAATTCTTCCAAGACAATCTGTCTAATATCGAATAATGACCACATAATGAGTGTCGATTTATTAGACAGCCTTGGATAAATCCTGGCAGCAGTCTATGTATATAGATATAGAATATAGATAAATCTAGAATTACCACCATTAGTATTTCATTAAAGATCAAATTCTTTGTGCAAAGTTATACAACTTTGTTAAATTGACTTCATACACGTAGACCTGACCTTGACTTTCAACAACGTTGCTTCACTGTACCAAGTTTAACTTGAAAGGTTAATAAAAACATCAAATAAATCACCGTCTTATTTTAATATTTTAGAAGCAAACGTGTAACATCATATTATTAATTAATAAATGAAACAATAGTTCTTAGAAATATTACAAAAAATATTAATTTTATTAACGATTAGGAATAAGAAAATATGATCAAATAATTAAATGTGACAATTCGCAGAAAACACGATTGCAAATATAATACTTTACTGACTTCATCTATATGATTGACCAGCAAAAATAACTTAAGTCCTCATCCCTTCCAAATTGTACGTATTTAAAATTTCAAAACGATTTGTTTGCCCTTTAATGGTTTGCAGCTTCGAACAATTTGTATTCCAAAAAGAAAAAATTATGTTTTTAATTTTTTTCCAATTTTCAAATCAAAAAACAAAATACAAGATTTTTATTTATATAAATTGTCATCATATCACTAAATAGTATAAAACAAAGTCGATTCCCGCTGTCTGTCCCTATGTATGCTTAGATCTTTAAACCTACGCAATGGATTTTGATGCGTTTTTTTAATAGATAGAGTGATCAAGAGGAAGGTTTATATGCATAATACGTGCATAATGTACAATAGTAGAGAAACACTGATAATTTTAGAGGTTTCTAATGTGATGTCATAAATAAACCCATTTTTTTCGCTTACTTTGCAAGCGCTGGCTGAACCCTACGAGATAGATCAAAATAATGTATTACAGTATTATTACACCTTCAGAAGGTCTACAAAAAAGTACGCGATGGTATATGTCCAGATAGACATCATAAAGTGACTTAGGGATAATTGTGGGTTCAGCATTGCACTCGCGCGAATCTAGGCGAGTTGCTAGTAAATATTTATAAGTTTCATGATTAAAAAATCTACTCACTCTATTTATCAAAATACATAAAGTAGTTTAGAAGATTGCATACATAAAACCTACCTTTTTCGGACTTTTGTAATATCGAAAGTTTCGCAAAGAGAACACAATATGCTTATTTCTCTTTGAATACGCTATAATGCAGAAGAAAGGCTAATTATTTATATAATACTTTTTATTATTTGAGAACCAGCGTTATAGTCATGCAGAAATTCTCAACAATTATTATTATTATTTATCTAATAGAGACAAATATTTATCAAATAAATTAGAGTCATAAACACAAAGGATGGTCCCTAATGTTAATGAACTCATATTTATGACAATACATAATACCACTTACTAATAGAATCGACGTTATATGTAATTATCGCTGTATCTTAAAACCACAAACGACTTTAAATAAACATTATCTCTAACATTATGATAAGTTGATCGAGTTACATTCCATCGATTGATTCAATTGTTATATACTATGTATATATTAATTACTACATAATTAAATCACTTTCAAACCGATACCTTTTTCGTATTTCATATAAATATCGTACTTCAAGAAAAATAGGTCAACTTTTTCATCCAAGTATGTGTGAATAGGATTACCAAATACTCAGAATGTGGAAAAAAATATATTGTAAGGATAAATTGAAAAATAAAAACAATACAAAATTCTTACGAGATCTCAAATATATTTGAAAGAAAAAGCTAAATAGTAAATAATGATTACCTTTACTTTGATTTATACCATATATAAGTATAGGCTTGATAATGCAATAAATAAAATAAGTGTTATATAAATATATAAGTTTGCCGTGTATTCCCCGCATAGAATGGGCCTTCCTTTCTATGCCGAGATCACAAACAGCCGGCTAAGAGAACTTAATGGTCAAGGAATGGGCAACTACGTCCCTCTTAAAATATCATGAGAGTACGGTTGCCAAAACCACCTGCCAGGCATGGCAACTACCGACAAAACCCCCCTTATAAGAGAGATCTATGTTCAGTAGCAGATACTTAACGGCTGACATAATAATATTAATATCCAACTTGAAATATGTTTCTCCTGATAGTAAAGTCACAATTCTGGACAACAAACAAAATTTCAACGAAATTTAAACTACGACAAGTTTTTTTTTTAAACAGATAAAAAAATTTATTTCAACGAGTACAGTAGGTATTTTTGCATCTTTTATATTAATAAAAATGTACATAATTTAATAAACATAGCACATTATCCGATGCAACAGTCATGTCGTTCTTTACCTATCGCGATTATGATCAGAAATTGTGGTGTCATATGCACGTTGTAGTGTAAGTAAACATATTTCTATAAATTTTTTACACCTTCCTTTTTCTAGATAGAAATGTAATATTCATGTTTGATTTTTATTTTAAATTAAAAGTTTATTAAACCAATCTTCTATAATTAATTTAATTTTAATTACTTTGTTATTTTTTACAGACCGATCAAAACACAAATAAATCTGTTAGTACAAATTTAATGTTAAAAAATTATATAAAAGGAACACAAATTTATTAAGTCAACACTGCGTACTCCATAGGAAACTTTTAGGTGCATTTGCTTACAATTGACCCTATTTCGAAACGTCTGATCATTGTTCAGCAATGAACGACGAGTGGCTGAAGTGATGATGAAACACTGCCCTTTCACCTACGAAACATTCTTTTCTCGTTTTATTATAGAAAAGTAATCTCTTTCTTAAATTTTATATCATTTTAATTATAATGTACTCCTATCGAATTATGTAATTTTCAAACTGAGAATGCACCTATAGAAATGTTATTGAAATCGGTTTACTTGTTTGGATTTTTAATGAAAATAACTGATTTTGCCCTAATTGAATTGGGAGTTTTTTTTTTGTGATACAAAACCTACTTGTTGTGCCATCAAATTTATCATTTAAAATTCACTCCAATTTAAATAAATTAAATTTATATAAACGTATACAGATGGGGGGAAAGGGATTGTTAGTAATGGAGACTAAAAATTCCATTCCTAGCAATATACCCAACCAAGTCGACCTCCTCGTGGTTCTCCCTGGAAACTATCATGGTTAATTCCTGATGAATTCATCATGATGGGCTAACTGGCCTGTTTTCATTCTCATCGATCACCCTTCACTGGTGCTCCGCCAGCGTATCCCGTTAGCGCAGCGTTAACCATACCATTTTCATCCACCAAAAAAAAAAACGTATACAAAATAAATGTATATATTTTATAACTTTTACCTGTATTAAAGACTGATTGTATGTTAACAATAATTTCTATCGTCTCGACGCGATATCTTGTTCTACATACATGAACGATTTTTTATTACACATATGAGGCGTAAATAAACATTACTTAAGACAGTGAATGCCAGTCACTTGTGTTAGACAAGACAAAATGTCACCGGTAGAATCATTGCGTACGTGAAGTATCTATCACTTGGGCGTATAGTTGAAATTTACAAAGGTCAATGCACACTACAATGAACCACAAAATATGTAGTTTTAAAGAAAAAAATCAATATAATAATTTGAATGCAAGACAGTGCATAGTAACGCATAATTAGATCAGTACTCATTGGAATGAGAGATAATCAAACAGCGCATAATCAAATTTATTTGCGTAGTAACGTGTAACACCTTTATGTTCTTCATCAGAATAGATAATGAGGGACCTCCCCATTTTTTCCTACATTTATTATTTAAACAAAATTATTTAGCATATATACTTACATAATTTTTAACCAATTTAAAAAAAAGAGAATGTTATATATTCGATTGTATATTTTTTGCATATATCTTAATTATAAAAATTATTAAAACTGGTGATTGACGGCTGCCGTCACGATTGGAAAAGAAAAAATAAGGAGATTCTTACAATATTCTTAGCAGGTTCTCAATTTAAACGATTTTTATGTATGTTAAAATATATTAATCAAAATTGGTTCACAATTGGCGAAGATACTGCATTTTTTATCAAGTTTTTTTTATACTACAAAGATAGTAAACAAGCATACAACCCTCTGATTGTAAACGGTCAAGGTAACGGCTGCAAAACTAGAGGTGTCACGAACGCGTTGCTGACCCCGAAAAACCCTTATTAACCAAATTATATTTTTTAAAAGTTCTTAGGTACACCAATATTGCTTCGATTCGGTACTTATTTTGTCAAAATTGAATTCCACTTTCTTTTCGTAAACTGTAGGTATATCTTTTTCACTATTATTGCACTTTAAACTCAATATAGATAGAAATTCAATATCGAAATTCAATTGTCTCTCGCCTTACGTTGTCTGGTTTTTATATTCTAAATTACTTAGACAATGAAATTTGATGGTACTTACCTAGTAATTTATTATTTAATTATTTGCACTTTTACTGAATCTAAAGTATTGAGTATTGACCTTTAAACTTTCAAATTGTTTGCGAATAGTTAACGACTAGATTAAGTTTGTGTATACCTTATGTAAGCCTGTACACACTACACTTATATGTATATATAATTATGAGGTCATGGCCTTATTACCTACTGTTTAACAGTAAACCTTTTAATTATTAGTTGACATTATCTTATTAAAAAAATTGTCATGGTATAATTTTGCTTGAGTAGATAGTCGTGCCTATTTACAAGTAACAATGCATGTGCCTATAATGTACCAGTAACTATTAAGACTTGCACAAACGATGGTTTATATTTGCACAGAGAAAACTTTCCTTTGTATAAACTGTGTACTTATTTGCATAATATAATACGGCGTTTTTTCTTTTTATGAGATGATAATGGAATGATAACCCCGTCTGCGCTCACGATATACGCTGGCGGGGCACCAGTGAGTGATGATAAGTAAGAATGTAAAGGCATGTTTTCCAGGTGGAACAACGGAAAGGTCGACTTAACAGATCGACTGACAAGCGATGGAATTAGTAGTCCATATTACTAACAATCTCTTCCCTCCCAGCAATATATTTCATCAGGTCGACCTCCACGTGATCTTCACTGGTTTATCATCAATCATCGTGACTAATTTCTATTTAATTTGACCATCGATGAGCCAAATGATCAAATCTTTACCTATCATCACTCATTGGTACTCAATGTATACCGATAGTGCAGGCGGGAATACCGTTCCGTTTTCAGCTCCTCTTTGTAATAAATGAGTACATAAATATTTTTTTATCCCATTAAAAAACTTACTATACGTGTATAATGGCACTTCTAGGAATTAAACAAATTTAACGACACCACTTTTATTAAAATCAAGTTAGGCTAAATATTGCGTCATACAGTCTTAAGATGAATGGAGAACAACCGCACTTGTAGTAGGTAAGGTGTAACTAGAGTTACTTACCTCTACCACGTTAATCAGCCATTCAAGCATGAGATCTGCCCTATGGTAAACAGTACCAATCTTGGCCTTGACAGACGTATTTAAAACGTCTATAAGAATATTAACTCAAATCTCTGAAAATCTAGTCGTTCAAAAAAATTAAGAAACCAAAAATAGCTAATAACTGAAATACCTTTTTTCTCTTAGAATCAGGTAAAATGGAAAGAAATATGTACTCATGACTTTAAATTTATGCCTTCCTATTCGCCCTGAGCCAAGCCCGACGCACGTAACCACCAGCTCAGGTAAGGTGTGGTCGAGATGAGACGGGGTTTCACAACAAGTCGGTCTGTCCCCAAGGTCGCGTCCCATCAACTCTTTTGCATCGCCATTCAGTGCTTGTCCGAGCTTTGTGCGAGCGTGTTAGTTTACATATACATCCCAAATGGGCAAGGCTTTTGTGATTTTGGCGTGCGCCTGCGCCGTCGGTGAGTAGACACTACGTAAATCACATAGAATTCATGCAAAATGCATGAGAATGTTCATCTTTTTTTATTAATCGTGTCACTTAATTGCGTATTATTTATAATATAAGCTAATCAATTCCATTAAATAATTACTACGCATTTATGACGTTACAAGATTTATTCCAAAATAAACTATCAACGGAAAGAGCCATAATATACCTATATATAGCACGAAATGAATAAATGCTTTGAAAAACAATTATCTAGTTAATTTAATAAATTTACATTATCATTAAATGAAAAATCAAGAATAAATTTAAAGAATTGATTGGGCAGTCAATTTCAAAGATATATACTTGTACATATCACAATATACTTATGAAACATCATGAGAGTCTAATTAAGTAATTACAATCTAATTAGATGCTAATTAAAGTCTTCTCGCGTCCACTACTGAAACAATAGAAACATTTGAATTTATAAAAAAATACATTATGTAAGAGTCGATTACAAATGTAGGTACCTATTTGTCTATAAGATTTTGCTATATACAAAACTTTAAGTTAAGTTACAATTAAAACTAATAAACATTCTAAACTAACAATTCTGAAGTGACAACTTTAAATAACTAAACTTGAATGAATCTAAAAATAAATTTGCTACAATAGAATTGAACTCATAACAAAAAAACTATATCAAGAAATCTTTTCACCACTCTACCACAGAGATCGCTGATTAATTTATTTAATGATCAAAAGAAACCATGCAATACAACTATAGTTGTATGCATAAATGCTATAGCATTATAAAAAATTATTTACTGACAATTATTAATTTGTATATAATTTATTAAGCGTCAAAATTTTAAAAGTTTGGTCTTAAGACAATTAACAATAAAATAAAATTCCACTAATTTTTACTTCTATTTGAATGTCTAACTACTGATAAAAACCTTTGTATAATCACAATTCTCGTTGGTGTTTATAACTTAGTTTAAAAACTAATAGTTAATAAATTGATATTAATGCCCGCAAGATTATAAAAGATTCTAATGGATCAATTAACTATTATATTGAAATAAAGTAGTTGTTACTAATGGAAACGCTAATGCCATTGCTAGCAATATATAAAATATTAATCGGGCCAATTTCCACGTAATTCTCTGGCAACCTAATGAATTAACCACCATGAGCTAACAACTGAACTGACTTCATTCATTCATGGCGGCAGTAGTCACTTGCCATCAGGTGAGCCGCATGCTCGTTCGCCCCGTGTTATAAAAAAAACCTCATAATTTCATGCTCCACTATAACCCCGCCATGTTTATTATATTAACATTACAAAAATACTCTACCATATTGTTTTTGTGATCTGGTAATTTAACTAATCAAAGTAGAAATCTGACCTTACCTTTATTGGATTATTTACATAATATCCGTAACATTGAAGAAGAATCATTCAGTTTGTCCTTCTTAGGCCTACACATAACATAAAAAATAGAATAAGGTAAATCTATTTAGGTACTTATATGTAAAATATTTTTAAACTTCATTGATTGTATAGTACTAATCTGTGACTTTGCCAACGTGACCGGGATGTATTGATCAATCGAGATAAGAAGTAGCTTATGTCCTTCTCCATTCCGTGTTTTAAATCTATTGTAAATTACAACAATTGGTTAAGCCGCTAAAACGGCAAGAGGTATCCTTACTAACATTATAATAATATATTACAATATAGCTTATATTCAAAAGGAAATTCTTCAATTATCTGTTAAATCAACAAATTTAGCTCTAACTATGTCTTAGTTAATAGTTAAATATGTAGGTATATCACAACATATCTATCATTATGTAAATTTTATTTTATTTATGTATATATATATATATATATATATATATATATATATATATATATATATATATATATATATATATATATATATATATATATATATATATATATATATATATATATATTATGTTTACATTATAATTATATAATTATATTATATTAATTATTAATATATCACATAATTATATTAATTTATATTAACAGGTAAATATATGTATATATGTTCGGCGCCATTACCCTCAAACACTTTCTGTTTTTACCTAATAGTTAGCTAGTAGAAAATGCAAGACGGCTTTAAGTTCGCCATTTGTACAAAATGTGAGAAAGACTTGTAATTTTATAAATTATGAATAAGTGAGTTATGTATCTGAGGGCCTACCATAAAATATTTTTCGAAATTTGGGGCCGAACGAAACACAAATTGGATGTTAAAATTACATAATACATACCGTCTCAAAATGTCAGAAAAGTTAAAATATCGTTCCTTTGGACTTGTATGGTAGGATTTATGCCAAACGAAATGTTAAGCTTCATTTACGGGGCCGATTTCGATGTGAACAAGATTACGAATTTTAATCCGTCAATTCAGAAATTTTTTTTATGATAGACTCCCTGTAATCTAACAAAAAACTACGTCCTACATCTCGTGACGGAAATTATAATTATTCATATACTAATTTAATACGAATACCTACAAAGCATACATACATATGTATATACGATAATCTAATCTACATACGGTATGCCTGTCTCCCATTGCGGTAGACAAGAATAATGGTACATCAACTGCTCTTGTCGAAACATACCTCTTTCGCTTCTTCTACATTCATAAATCTATAACCTAGCCAGTTTAAAGTATTTATAAGTTGGCTCTTTTTTAGTAACACATCACTTTAACATATTTCACATGTACTCTAATCGTTACCGCTTTTACTCTAATTATTATATGAATATATAACTAATTATCTACTTCTATATCTTAAGAAATATGCTATTAATAATAAATCGGTATTTATTTCAAAAAAATAAATAAAAAAAAGTAAATGTAAAAAAATATGATATCTAATAAAAAGTTATATTACTTTAATATAATAACAATAATAATCCAAATTTCACAGCGTACGCACAATTCGGTAATTCGGGTTTCCAATCATCGCCATTTGCACAATCTTCTGGAACGTTCGGACGGGGTCAAACAACTTTCCAACAAACTTCAAGACCTGGACAGTACCAGCAAAGTAGTTTCGGAAGTCAAAACCAGTACCAACAAAACCCACCCCAACGTAATCAATACCAGCAAACCCAGTACCAGCAAAACCTGAATCAACGGAACCCATACCAGCAAAATCAATATCAACAGAACCAATATCAGCAACCATCAGCGCCAAAGCAAAGTTTTGGCTCCTGCAAAGACAAAGAGCGCTCCCCGGTGTCTGGTAGTTGTGACAGATATAACGAATGTGTCGTAAGTATTAATTTTCTCTCTAATTCTACAAATATTATAAAATAGCTATACCGTAGCGAAACTGCAAAAATTACAAATCCTGTGTAATAAAAATTCTAGGATGTAGTCTACTTGTGTACTAAATTTAATTCTGTTCAGTCTTTTAAACAAGATAGAGTAATAAACAATCTTACTTTCATATTTGTAATAAGTCACCAGAGGAAGACTTTGTACAAAAGTCATTTCTTTGTGTACCTCTGTTCCATTCGTGTTTCTACCGTGAAGCAATTGTGTTTGCATGGCTGTGTTTCGTTTTGATATGGCAGTGAATTAACATTTATTTAAGGATAGGAACAGAGGAATAACACCTGAGTCCTCAGGAATGGCAACGCATGGGGTTATCATAAGCGAAAGAGTATACATTGTTATGTCCATGGTACTGCTCATGTCTATAGGCAACGGTTACCGCTTTCCATCAGGTGGGTCGTCAGCTTGTTTGCCATTCTAAGTTATATAAAAAGTACCTGCATGATTGTTACTTAAACCCGTTTAAACGATTGGATAAATTTAAATAAAATTTGGAACACAGATAGACCATATCCTGTATTAACATATTGCAACTTTTTACCCTAATTCACGTAGGCCAAGCCGTGAGAATGAGAATAATAACATAAATTTACCTACAGCCTACAGTACTTTTTTATAAATACATTAGTATGGAGCGTGTGTAAGTTAGTGAACAAAATGCCAGTATAGGTACGAACATGCCGGATACTAAGTCACCTCTAAAAATATTTGAATTGACCTATACAACCTTATTCATATATATTTCGACTTTATGACTAAAACAAATAACATAAAGGCTACGAATATCGAAGACACGAATGGAATTTACGAGGGTCAGGTCAGGTATCATCGATATTTTAGTAGGAAGTGTTAGAGATGTTTTATTTAAAAAAAAAAGTACGTACTACATAAGTCTGTTATAGGAAAAATTTTTTTATCATATCATTTTAACACATTAGCCCTCAAGAAAGGCAACCCTTGAAGCAACCATAGTGTACTGTTATAACCACAGTGCTATTCTGTCAGTTGTGCATATCTATTCTATCATAGTGCAAATGTACGTTACCATTTTCTATTAGGTTATTAATTAGTTTGTTCGCCATTTCCAATTATACAAGTATTAAAATATATAATGGGTGAATTCGGAATTCCTTATCATTGTTTTAAGGAAGTGCTCTGCTAATTAACTGAACTTTTATTGTCAAAACAATGGACGGAAAATTTTGACTCTCCCAGTCACACAATACACCGTATCCAGCAATCAATTAAATAAGGGAGAATCAAAAAGTTTTGGCTTTCGACATTTCTTTGGGAAAATGCTTCAGTTTCATTACTCATAGAAAATGCTTGTGATTTCGATTTTAATGGATACAAGTACCAAGAAAAGTGAAATTATTATAATTACGTTTCAGAACGGAGCATTTGAAGAGAAATTATGCCCTGATGGTCTCCGATTCAACCCTAGCGTGAGGGATGACGTATACCCCTGTCAATACCCCAGCGAGGTGCCCTGCCTCGAGCGCTCATCGCTACGTGAGTATCATTTTAAAATTATTGTAGGTATTTCAAGATGAGATTTTTTTGCGATCAATACTTGGTTGTCTCGCATTATAATAATTCGAATTCACATGTAACCTTCCACACGTATTAACATTTTATATACAATGTTATCCTCTAACATCGTAATATCGTATTAATTAAGCGATTTAATAAAGAGAAGGTTACTAATTTAATTAATACTTATTTGTGTCTGTTATCTGAAATGCGCGAAATTTTAAAGCCAAAATATAAAAAAAAAAAGCTATAATGGAATATGTAACAACAATTTAAAAAAATATTACATTAAAATATACGTCATAAGACGAACATAATATTGCAGTTGCAAACACAAGGATTTCTTTCTTTTTTCTTTTCTCTTTACACTTCATGATGTACACACAGTGTCATATCATAACTATTGAATATACTTTAAAGTTATATTAATAAGATATATAAGTAATATTGAAATATAAAACATATAATATTGCTTACTTCATACATTGCAGAACCCGCTCAGCCAACAGCAGACTGTCCACATCAGTTTGGATTATTCAAACTGGGTGATGCGCGAAACTGCAGCGGCTTTAGAAACTGTGTGAACGGAGTTGGCTTTGACTTCACTTGTCCTGAAGGGTTGGCCTTCAGTTCAGAGACGTACCGATGCGAATGGCCTGACGAAGTCGCTGACTGTGATGCTGAAGGTAGTAACTTTAAATATCTATCTTTTTCCACGTGATCTATTATAATCTACTTTTATATAGAACATGGCAATTTTTTTAATGGATGATAATGGAATGGTAACCCCGCCTGCGCTAACGGGATACACTGGCGAGGCACCAATGTGTGATAGGTGAAAATAAAAAAGCAGGTCAGTTAGACCATCGCGATGAATACACCTCAAAATTCAGCACGATTGTTTCAAGGTGAGACTACATGGAGGTCAATCTAACAAGCTATATTGCTAGCAACGAGATCGGTAGTCCACATTACTAACAATTACTTCCCTTTGGATTTGGAAACCAGAAATGAATATTGAGTCCTAAGTACAAAAGTTTGCATATTTATGGAATATAACTTTAAAAGATCACTCTTTCAATAACAAATATCTCTTGTATGTCTTCTTATCTATATTTCTTATTATCTATATTTTAGTCCTTGGGATTGATCTTTATCAAGTCATCAAAACAAACTACGATGCTGTTCATGCATAGATGTGACAGTTATTACTTTTGAAAGTAGTCGATCTGATTGCCATTGAAATTTGATGTTTTAATTTTAACAAAAAGTAATCTTTAAAAACCAATTTGGTTGTACTTTTTTCAGCATTCCTCGGCTTCCGATGTCCAGAGGTGCCTGTATCGAGGGAACTTGGACCACCTGTCGGATACAGATATTACAGGTGAATTATCAATGTTAATAATGACTAGCTTTTGTCCGTTACTTCGGATGGGTGGTTTCAAAAGTAGAAAAACCAATAAAGTAGCCCATCTTTAGATTGCATATCAAAATAAAACATACATCAAATTTTAAGTTAGGTACCTTCAGGAATACAGTTGTGAAAACTTACTCCAATGTTGGAGCAATAGTTTTAGCATGACGCTGGAACAAACACAAACAAAATTTTTAAAAATTCTTGTTTAGACCTTTATTGGTCTTAATAAGAGCCTATGTATTAGTTTTTTCAGATGTTTTCTAGCTATTATTTTATTATATAAGTAAGAAATATCGATACAGCGTCATCATCATACGGTTATCAGACTTCTTAAATACTATAAGTGGCAAATGAATTTTTCATTAAAAATATATATATTAAATAGATAGATAGATATAGGTATATATATAGATACTTAACAGCTTTTACTTCCTTACAGAAATATCTGTTGCATGTTCATCGAGTTCACTTGATATTTATAAATAATTTCACAGTGAAATAACTGGTTACCTAATGTGGTACCGGTCGGTCGGTCAGTCGGTCCTGCTAATGTCAGCAGATGAACGGTGACCTTGTGTTTATGTAATATTTATTAGAAATACCAATCGTTTGCTCTTGCGACTACTTGCGACCTCGTACACAGTATGATGTTATACACAATACAGTCTACAATAAGCACGTCATATGAACTTATTTAGACAGTCCGAAAATAAATTTAAAAATAAAGACTACTTGCAGGATTGTAGTAACCGTCACCTATACATAATTATGAAAGACACAATGTTAACTGTCACATTTCTCATGCATTGCCACCTCTAAAGTTTACAGTGTTTATATAACAGCATCTTATGTTAAAGATTGTAACATCTTGCCTTTTAGACTAAAATATAAATACACACTGCTGTTTTAGAAGTAAGTATTTACGAGAACTAGCCTCTGTACAAATTATTCTTAGCATTTTTTCACACTTCTTTTTAATTTATTTTAAACAATTCAAGTCCCTCCCCGCGCCCCGCTGCTTTCTGCGGGTCTTTTTTTATGTAATTTGTGGCACTCTTATAAGTCTTTTGCAATTCCACGATCTTTATTCCAACATATATGTATTTGTACCAGAATTTTTCCTTTCAAGTTAGATGCCCCACCCACTGACAAAATTATTTAAAATTAATGACAATTCCCATTATAAACAAACTATTTTTATGAACTTAATGTTGTCTTTAATTATTGCTTAAAATATGTATCTGCTTATAATTAAAATGTTCTAAACTTTACAGATCAGATGCCAATTGCCAGAAGTACTTCATCTGCATCGAGAACCGTCCTCGGGCTTTGTCTTGCGGTGGAGATTCAGCATTTGACGAGCTCACTTCCACGTGTGTTTCTGCTGATGAAGTCTCCAGTTGCCCTCCGGAGCTAAGAGCTTCAGCTGCCCGTTCCAGAGAGGAAGAAAAGCAACGACTGGCAAAGGAAGTGTCTTTTAATGCCAAACCGCTACAGCAAAAAAGGAGATATTGATAGAATGTAATGAAATAAAGTCATGTACAGATAGGTCTTGAACCTTTTATACCTTGTAGGTTATTACCTAGATAGATACGAGCTGTGATGCAATTTTTGTTAATACAATAGGAAGGTATAATTTTTACTAAACCAGTGAAACTATTGTCATAATTTTCACCACACAAATTAAAATACCTTTTACGTTTTATATATACAGACACAATCTATTACAAGTGCAAACTGTACAAGTACATAGGTATTATTTTATTTTTAACATACTTATGGATGTACTTCGCAATAAAAAATAGTCTTTTTTATTTCAGTATTGTAAGGTACAATTACAGATGGGCAAAGCACCGGGTTTAAACCCGGTGCTTTGGTAAAAACCCAATAAACACCCATAAACTCCCATAATCACCCAAAAAAATAGGTTTTTACGTATTTTTTTGAAAATATGTAAGTAATACCAATAAATTATTTTTATAAATTGTATTGATCAATTCTACAATATTAAATAAAACGTTAACTAATAATATTTCAGGAAATTTTAAAAATCTATATATAATAAAATGAAAGTAATTAATTTTCAGTGTTTTCATGTTGCAGTTGATCAACATGTTGGCCTTTTGCTTCCCGTAGATACTTTAAAATTTCTTCATAACACCTCGTTCGCACACATGGCCGTATATATTTAAATTCTTGAGCCACTAACAGTCCGAAATACTCATTTCTTTTATCCTCTTCTCCATAAATTAAGCATTTAGAACAGTTTGTTTCTTCTTTCAGTAAATTTTCTTTTACTTTATCCTCGTTTTTTTTCTTTGTTGCGACGACGCTGGGTAAATCATCTGGACACTGGGTCTCACTATCACCAAATATATTTGGAGATCGGCTTCGGCTACGGCTTGGCAGACATTTTTTTCTTTCTACAATTTTAAATTAAATTTATTAGAATAAATGCTTCGAACACACGCGATCTAAGTATTTTGTGTTTATTATACCTTACCTACCTAGGTATAAAAAGAGTACTTACGTAGATTTTCTTTTATTAACTGTTTTATACGAAGATCTTGATCTCTCAAATTAGCATCCATTTTACTTCCAGTGATTATCAACTAAATTAATAATCCACAAAGTATTAAATAACGTTTTTATGAAATATTTAGCACAAAAACAATACCCTTTAAATATCGATCGTCAGTAACTGTGGCTGACTTACCTATATTCTAGCAAGCAGGACTGCCAGATGTGAAGGGGAAATCCCCAATAAATTGTTGCATGTGACTGATGATGTGAGCATGTTCGTTTCATAATAAAAATGTTGCCAGGTAACCAAAAAGTCGTATGTTTTTGTGCGAATTACGATCATAATCTTTACGATCGTACATTAAAAAATAGACAAATAATAGTATGAGTACGATTTAAATCGTATATCTGTCAACCCTGCTAGCAAGACAGCGACAAAATCACGTTGCATAACAATGTAGCCCAAGCTTATATCTTATGAAATATACGGAAGAGATACGGACTTAGAAAAAACAGAAATGTTGTTCTTTGTGGAAGTCATTGATGAAATTCTATGTATTTTAGCCCGCAAACTTTCTTCAAACAAAAACAGCGCCATCTAGTATCGAGTTCTGTAATTATCTCTTTGTTTATGGATTTGAAGTAAGACCGCCACGCATGCAATACATTATGACTGGGGATTCCCCTATTCGTCGACGCTGAATATGAGGCGACGACAATCACTGTCAAACGTGTTCACTATTACTCTGACTCTGGTAACGTGACTTCCTGGTAACGTGTTAGGTAGGAAAAGCAGTAAAAAAGTGCATATTAAGGGAGCAGATTTGAAATAATATTTATACTTAACAAGAAATAATTAAAGGTAAGTGGATTTTTGAATGATACAATTATATCATGATCACTTAACAATTTTAACTTAAAATTAGATGTATTATTACAAGCTTTTATTTAGCTTGCGTTATGTAAATAAAAGTATGTAGGTATGTTCGTATGTTGATGCAATTATCCTCAATCCTCAACCGACTGGGATAAAATTTTCCATACACGTTTATTTTGGATGATAGTGCATAGTTAGCTGAGAGTCGTCATTGGATAATAATGGTGGATAGCCTAAGATGTGTAAGAACTAGATATTTATTTTTAACATAATATGCGTAAGTACCTAATCGAATTAAAGAAGTTGCTGAGAAAAATACAGAACAATACGATAATAAACTAGCGTCTGCGTTTAATCCTCCGAGGAGATGTAATTTTACAAAGGTTTTTGTTATTTATTTTATTATTTTTTTAATAAATTTATTGTAAATAACAAGAAATAATCATTGTAAAAAAATAGGCACTCTATTGTTGAATTTTCGTCAGACCAACTAATCATCGTTCATTTTTTTAGGTTCAATGGGGAGACCTAAAGATTTACGCATATGGGAGCACTACCGTACTTTACCAAACAAGTCTGTTTCTTGCAAGCTTTGTAATAAGGTCTACAAATTCAGTAATGCTGCCAAAATGCTTCAACATCTTATCACTTGTCCAAAATCTCCAGAAACATTAAAAGACTCTATGAAACTTATAAAAGATAGCTCGTCCAAAACCAAAATGTCTGGACTGTCAGAGATAGAGACAAATGATTCTTTTATAAGCCCCTCGTCGTCTGCTAACACTACAATAAATGCTGAGTTTCAAGACACCGATGATCATATAAAAACAGAATTAGCGAGAGCTATATTTGTAACAGGGACGCCATTATCGATGGTGCAACATCCTTTATGGATACAATTTTTCGAAAAATTGCAACCAAAATTTAAAATACCTTCACGTAAAGCTTTAGCGACAAAATACTTAGATAAAATATATAGAGAAATGCGTTTTGAGTTAAATGAGGAACTAAATGCTTGTAGTTACTTACACCTTCAGTGCGATGGCTGGTCTAATTTAAGAAATGAAGGAATAATAAACTTTCTTATATCAAAACCTCAACCTGCATACGTTAAAAGTTTGAATACAGAAAGTAATCCTCACACTAGTGAATACCTTAGCCAAGAAGTTGAAAAAGTAATGAAAGTGTATGGAGCAAATAAGTTTCTTGTACTTATTGGCGATAACGCTAGAAATATACAAAAGGCATTCGAATTAACAAAACTCAAATATCCACATGTTGTTCCTCTCGGTTGCTGTGCACATATCCTTAACTTGTTGTGCCAAGATATTGTAAAGATACAAGAAGTAACTGTGTTTATTATGCAAGCCATAAATATAATAAAAACTGTTAAAAGGAGTCAACGATTAAGTTCCTTGTTGATAAAATCAAGGCAGGGTGAAGATTCTACACAAACACTAAAATTGCCTTGTGCTACAAGATGGGGAAGTCATGTTACTTCGTTAAAAAGTTTGAAAGCAAATAAGATAGCTTTGCAAATATTAACAGTTAGAGAAGATGTGGTAATTTCAAGAGATATTAAAGATTTAATTCTAAGTGATGATTTCTGGACGAAGACAGGGGAATGTATAAGTATTTTGGAACCAGTCACTGAAAGCATATTTTACTTAGAGAGCGACCAGAATCGTTTGCATCGCACATACATTACATTTAGAGATGTACAAGCTAAGATACGTTTTGCATTAAATGAGATTTCGACATTGAGCGAAGAAAGCAAACAGCAGATTCTAACATCAGTATCTTCAAGATGCAATATGGCAATGAGGCCAATACATTTTGCAGCATATATTCTAGACCCCAGGACTCTAGGAGTCGAACTTACTCAAGAGGAAGAACTTAAGGGTATGGAGTTTATCTACAATTTAAGCCAACACTTAAGTTTGTCAAATGTAATGGCAGATTTGGCGTGTTATAAAGCTTTTTGGGCCAGAGGATTTGTATGGAGCTCATTAGATAGCATTGAGCCCCTAATATGGTGGAAAGGTATTTGTGGTTCCACTGAGTTAAGCAAAGTAGCGATTCGTATTCTATCAGCTCCCTGTACTTCGGCAGCCACTGAGCGTTCCTTTAGTATCCAAGGCTACATACATAATAACAAAAGAAATCGACTTACAACTGAAAGAACTGAAAAAATTTCATTCATTTGTTATAACTGGAATCTTAAACATAAAGCTGAATGCGAGGACATTCAGTTTAATGAAGAAAATACCTTAGAAGCTTTCATTGAGCAAGTAAATGAACATAACAGTTTAGACGAAATAGAGCCTATCGAACCTATACAATTCATCGCTTGTAATAACTCTGAATCTGACAGTGATTGACTGTAGTTTTACATTTTACTTTCATCTCTTTCTTAATAAACTCAAAATCAAATTAAAAGTTTTTTTTTTATTCTGTAGGCTGCATAATAATATTGTCTATGTCCAGTATAGTGGACGTCTTGCGGCTGAGATGACGATGATGAAGTACAAAATCATAAACACCCAAAAATTTGGGTGTTTATGGGGTTTAAACCCAATAAACCCAAAACACCCGGTTTTTACCCACCAGACTTTAAACCCACCCAGGTGGATTGCCCATCTCTAGGTACAATACTTTTGTTCGCCTTTTTTTTGTTGCATCGTAAAATAAATTTATTAGAAGACCGTATTTACTGTAAAACTACAATAAAACCTACTACTATTACTAGTTAAGAATTGTACAAATAAATACAAATATAACATTAAATATGTAGTATTTATTTTTAATACCAACAATATTAGCCCCCGTAGTAAAATCTAAAATCTGGATTATCTATGGTATAGATAAACCAGATTTTCATTTTCATTCGATCTCATAGATGTGATCAATATTATAGATTCTATAGTAGTATAATAGAATAGTAGTAATCATATCTGTGAGTGCCAGAAACTACTTACTATCCACCGGATGGACCATCAATCCGAAATATCATTATTTCTGTAAAGCCACATCAAAGAGCCACTATTGTTTTGTTTGATAACAAATCGTCAATAAAGTTCTAACAGTGCCTATGTTAGCACTGTAGTAGAGAGCAAAATAAATTGAACAAAAGATCTATTTCTGTTTCTATTGTATTTTTTTTTAATATATATAGAACCATTATTTAAAATCGAGATTTGCATGTAGAATAAGGTGCCGCTGCTCATCTCTGCAAGTATATCTGCAAGTTAAACTAAATTTAAATTAATGATAACCGTATATTTTCGAATTAGGTTTAAAATCATCTTGGATAGTCAGTAATTACTCTCAGTTAGCAACTACCTACGGTTGCCACGTGACATTGTTTAATTTGCAGCTTTTATTTGTAGTTAACCCCAGTTAATCCATTTTCACCTGGCAACCGTAAGTTTTTAACCGACATTAAAAAGGAGGGTTTCAATCCGGTTTTATGTTTTTTAAAGTTTTTATCTCATAACTATGTCAGTTGTAAACCAAGAAATTACTATTTTGTTTGAAAGGATATTGTGACCGACAAAGGAAACCATGGAAGGTCTACCATGAAATGAAATTCCGAAATTTCGGACTCAATTTCGTGTTTTTATTTATACCAAAATTGGACCAATAAATGGAGTTTAACATTTCGTTCGTCATACATCCTATCATAAAAGTCCAAAGGAACAATATTTTAACATTTTTTAAATTTCCAAACGGCATGTATTATGTAATTTTAATATCAAATTTGTGTTTCGTTTCGCTCCGAAATTTCGGAAAACATTTCATGGTAGGCCCTCAGAATGGAAATATAAGTATATTGGTCAAAGAAACTTAAAAGACTAGTGTCGTTAAGGGACGCCAAAAGGAAATAATAGAAATGTGTGTCAATTTCAAATTTGGTAAAAAATAATATGAAGCTATAAATAATATATGTGGCCTGTACTCCAGTTCAGTAGTTTAGTTTTTAATAATAACTGATTTTCTCACAATTGAAGACGGTTTCTTTTTGTAGACCTCAACTGTATAAGAACATAACTTAAAAACTTTAATCTTATCTTATTAATATAATAAAATTGTAACTAGGCGATATCTGTAATTAGGAGATTTTAAAAAAAAAATATTATTTTTAGAAATTTTGTCTGTCTGTCTTTCCGTCTGTATGTTTGTTCTGACAGTTCAGTGGTATAAAAAAATCTAATAATGATAAATAAATACATTTTTTTAACGTTCCACCTACCTATTTATTCTTTAATTCCTTCTACTCAAAAGTTGTCTGAAATATATTGCTTATAATAAGCAATAAAACCGCCCTTTGTATTACACTATACTTATAGAAAACCCCTTAACAAATCCTGTAATACTCGTGCAATAAAATGTTAAATAAATAAATAAATAATGAAACTGGCAGGTAACCATATCATAGGAACTAATAAACTATGCATTATAAATCCGTTTGATTTGTCCTGACAAAAACTATAACCCTGTTTGATACCGAGAATCGGATGATGAAGCCAAAAAGCTGTGACAGCTTGTATTTATATATGTTTTCCAACAGAATTATTTATTTTTACTTCTTTTCGGAACTACGTGGCCAATTACCGACCTTATCTGGATGATATACAGTATATTCCTAATTAAATCCGGCGCGCATTGAATTAGGAATCAGGCGTCTATGTAATGAACGCTCTTCTTGTACGTGGGTTCATCATATTTCCCTTCATCAATTATTATCAGAGTTATTCCTGAACAGATTAATTAGAAAAATTATAAGTAAAGTACATAAATGACGCATCTCACGTAATTTAATAAATTTAATCAGTGATAAATAATATAAATGCGGTAAGCCACTCAACTGTCTCTTAATTAATTTAAAACCATTTTTTGATGAGGAAAAATATTAATATCTATCTGTTCTGATAAGGTACAAACATAATAAAATGAAACATATAAATAAGATCAACAGTGTTGCGACAAAAGTGTCAGACTGTAGACATATCCCTTTGTCTAAGAAGATCTCCTAGAAGAACACCAACATGTTACGGAACAAATTATTACTTCTATTACTTTCAATAGCTATTAAAGGTGAGTTAATGTGCAAATTCTGTTGTCATGTCAATTGCTATACTTTGTTTTACTATTTTTTTTAGTGACCTTTTGTACATCCTTCAAGTAATTATGTTTCTTCTCCATTTGTAGTGAAAGCTCAGGAAGTATTGCCGGGACACGAAAGCAGTTCGAAAGAGTACCGAGACCCGCAGTTTATTCAGCCAGATGGGATGCCAACAACACCTGATCCAAATATTGCAACAGACAGAAATATGTAAGTAATAAAAATGTCAACCTCTGAAAGGTTATGACAAACAAAACTTATAATTTACAAAAAAGCTTTACCATTTCTAAAAATATTAGTATATAAAACAACCTCTTCGTAGTAACAGCAATGAATTTAAATAGTCTCCACCTAACTCCAATATCAATGTTAGAAAATTACCACCTATTTCTAAAGAAAATATCATATTAGTCTTTCAACAAATATTCTTTCTAACTCATTGTCTACAACATTAAACCTAAATTAATCGTTTCCAAATTTTAGAATCGACGAAGAAAAGCCATTTTACTTCAGGACAGTAACCAACGATAACCCATTTTTCGAATCGGAAAGTGTCACAAGGGCTACAAACTTTAGTTTACAATTGGATGACTATCAGTGTCCTAGAAGTAATGGATACTTTGTTTATCAAAATGACTGTAAGAAGTTTGTGGAATGCCAAGTAAGAAATGATCTAATTTATTAAGAACACGTCTCGTTTAGGCATATAAGACATAACAATGTAATTTCTTAATCAAAATGTATGTATTTGATAAATTTGTAAAGTATTCTTGCTCACCTGAACACCATATTGTTAGAGTACCTATATAATTTAAAGTCGGTTAGTTTTATATTTGTATTTAAATATGATCTAGAATATTCTGCTCAGCAGAAATTATTTTTATTCTCTAACAGATCTTTTAATATAATTGTTTTATTTTCTGAATCGTAACAATTGGTCAGTAATTACGTATTTGAAACCAATAACATTCTTTTTAGCATAAAAAGATTCTAATAATGTCTGATTCTTGACCAACGAATGAGAAAAATAATACTATCAAAAAAATGTATAACTACTAATATAAGTATATAGAAACGTATATATATATATATCAATAATGACTTAAGAACATATTTAGAACTTGTTGCGATTTTATTTTTAGTTATATACACTAAAAATAAACTTCATGACTTTTTATTTTCAGGAGAATGTTGGAAAACTTTACTTTTGCCCCTCTGGATATCAATATAATCGTATGGCCGTGTGGCCAGACCCACCATGTGGATTAGAGTCTGAAATACGTTGTCAACAAGAAGAAGTTACAGTACCTTCAAATATGTCACTAAGTGCGCGTCCTTTTATGGTTACGAGTATCGAAGAAAATTATAATTACCAATGTCCAAACAATGGATACTTTGATTACCAAAACGATTGCATGAAGTTTGTTGGATGTCAGGTATAAAACAACAGCTGTATTATCATTATATAACTTTTTTTTACGTTTTATGCTAAAATTATCCATTGGATGTAACTGAGCTTTACTGTGTACTTGTATGTGTTTTCAGGAAAATCATGCAACGCTTTATACCTGCCCTCCTGGATATAGATACAACCGTACAGCCGAGTCGCCGGACTACCTATGTGGGTTTGAGTCTGAAATATTCTGTACACAAGAAGATGATATAATACGTTCAACTGTACCACCACGTGTGCGTCCCTTTGTAGTTGTCAAAGAATATCATGATTACCAATGTCCGGGCAATGGATACTTTAATTACCAAAACGATTGCATGAAGTTTGTTGGATGTCAGGTATGAAACAACAGCTGTATTGTCATTATATAGTTTTATTACGTTTTACGCTAAAATTGTTCATTGGATGTAACTGAGCTTTACTGTGTACTTGTATGTGTTTTCAGGAAGATCATGCAACGCTTTATACCTGCCCTCCTGGATATAGATACAACCGTACAGCCGAGTCGCCGGACTACCTATGTGGGTTTGAGTCTGAAATATTCTGTACACAAGAAGATGATATAATACGTTCAACTGTACCACCACGTGTGCGTCCCTTTGTAGTTGTCAAAGAATATCATGATTACCAATGTCCGGGCAATGGATACTTTAATTACCAAAACGATTGCATGAAGTTTGTTGGATGTCAGGTATAAAACAACAGCTGTATTGTCATTATATAGTTTTATTACGTTTTACGCTAAAATTGTTCATTGGATGTAACTGAGCTTTACTGTGTACTTGTATGTGTTTTCAGGACAATCATGCAACGCTTTATACTTGCCCTCCTGGATATAGATACAACCGTACAGCCGAGTCGCCTGACTACCTATGTGGATTTGAGTCTGAAATATTCTGTACACAAGAAGAAGTTGTAATCCGTTCAACTGTGCCACCAAGCCCGTCTCCAATTATACTTATCAACGAAATTTATGATTACCAATGTTCGAACAATGGATATTTTGTTTATCAAAACGATTGCTTTAAATTTGTCGGATGTCAGGTATAAAACAGAAACAATTTTGAATATAAATCAAAATATTACGTTTTATTCTAAAATTATCCATTGGATATAACTTAGCTTTACTGTGTACTTGTATGTGTTTTCAGGACAATCATGCAACACTTTATACTTGCCCTCCTGGATATAAATATAACCGTACATCTGCATCACCAGACTACATATGTGGGTTAGAGTCTGAAATATTTTGTCAACAAGAAGAAGCTATAATACCTTCAACTGTGCCACCAAGCCCGCCTCCCATTATGGTTGTCAAAGTAATTTCTGATTACCAATGTCCGGGCAATGGATATTTCGTTTATCAAAACGATTGCTTTAAATTTGTCGGATGTCAGGTATAAAACAGAAACAATTTTGTATTTAAATCAAAATATTACGTTTTATGCAAAAATTGTTCATTGGATATAACTTAACCTTACTGTGTATTTGTATGTGTTTTCAGGACAATTTTGCAACGCTTTATACTTGCCCTCCTGGATATAAATATAACCGTACAGCCGCGTCGCCAGCCTACCTATGTGGATTGGAATCTGAAATATTTTGTCAAGAAGAAATTATGATACGTTCAACTGAACCTCCAAGCCCACCTTTCATTACAGTTATCAAAGAAATCTATGATTACCAGTGTCCAAACAATGGATACTTTATTTACCAAAACGATTGCATGAAGTTTGTTGGATGTCAGGTATAAAACAATAGCTGCATTGGCATTGTCATAGTGTTATTACGTTTTATGCTAAAATTGTCCATTAGATGTAACTAACCTTTATTGTGTATTTGTATATGTTTTCAGGACAATCATGCTACGCTTTATACTTGCCCCCCTGGATATCAATATAACCGTACGGCCGTGGAGCCAGACTACCTATGTAGACCAGAGTTTGAAATAGGTTGCGAGACGGCCATCACGCCTGAGAAAGACCCAGTCGTAATTCCCAATGAACCATCAAACTATCAATGTTCAAGGCACAACGGATACTTCAGTGTGGAATATGATTGTAATAAGTTTATTGAGTGCAAGGTATAGTACACACTTTAAATTTTTAGTATTACCTATTTACACTTTATAACATACTAGCGGCCCGTCCCGGCTTCGCACGGGTGGACATTTTTACAACATTTTAAAAAGTGATTATTGTGACATAACGATAATAGATGGACATATAGTAAAATTAATAACTACAAATTTTTTGTAGTTTAATATTTTCTTCAATATTGTAGAACATACTTTTGTTCTATCACCAATAGTTTCCGCAGCGCACGCGCCGAAAGTTATTTTATAGTATTTTTTACACCTTGAGTTACGTTACTAAAGTTTTAGTAAGGATCTTTTCTCTTTTCTAGCAATAAATAGCCTATGTTACCCAGGTTGAACATAGCTTTCTAATAGTGAAAGAATTTTTTAAATTGGCTAAGTAGTTTTTGAGTTTATTCATTATAAACATACATTTAAAAATACAAATCTTTCCTCTTTATAATATAGTATAGATGTAGATATAACTAAAAATATATAGTTTGTTTAAAAAAATAAAAAATATAATAAACACAAATAATTTACTAGAACAAAGATCTACTGATATTTAATAGAAGTAGAAATAAAAAATCTATTATTACGATGCTTCGATTTGTAGCTGATTTCATTTAAAAAGTATTTCTGTGATAAATTAAATAAAACTTGATTGCCTTTTCATTAAATTATATTAAAACAAGGCATACAAGTAGTATCAGAGTGTAAGGTAAGAAAAAATCGGGTCATTGGCATATCCCAAGTTATTATAAAGCTGTTCGGATATACTACTTTGTGCCCGTTGAATGACTAATAGAAAAAAAAATTACACTATAGCAGTTACTTAATGGTCATACATACTGAAGTTGAAGTGACATCGAAACCCTTTAGGGAAGTATTCTAAAAACTAAACATTTTCCCAAAATGATATCAAAATACTTCAATAATACAAGAAATATTCAGTTCAATTCTTTCAGAACATTCCAATTAAAATGCAAATCAATTTTTATTTTATCCTGTAGATATATAAATATTCTGAATCATCTGTTTTAACTATTCTAATTAATACAAAAAGAAAATTAACATGTTTTTTCTTTATTTTGAGACCTTTGTATTAAAGTTGTAATTTACGGTGTGCAAGTTCGTTTCATAATCGGGCCAATTTATTAAAGGAATGTTAAAAATATTAAATATTAATAGTTCAATTATTCAATGAGGTTCCTTAAACATAAAATGTCATAGAATGAGTTATATATCGTAAAAAAAAAGAATTTCATAGAACTGCTATGAGCGTAGGCATTATGAAATAGCAATATCCATAATGCCTACGTCATTGCACAAGCGAACAAATAAAAAAGTACCTTCTTATTCGTTATGAATATAATAATGATATAGCTATTTAATTTGAATGGTTAATGTAAACATAATGCTTAATACAAAAGGAACTCGATTTTTATCAATCCATGAACAAAATTATATAATAAAAATAGAATTGTAATATTCAATCTTACTTATTTATGGAATGTTAGATTTTTCTTGTAAGTCATTTCGATCGAGATAAACCAAAATAAAACAATGTAATTTGTTTTTAATATATATTTTATTTATATTAAAAAAATCTTTTTTATCTATATACATTAATATGAATCTGTTTCTTGTTTTTCAGAGTTATCGTTCAAAATAAGCTTACAGAACCAAGAATTAGTTTTACTTAACACACTTGTCTGATTCCAGGAATATGAAGCTCGGATGTATAGTTGTCCAATGGGATATTATTATAATTACAAATCCGTATGGCCAGAAAATCCATGTGGTCTCGCCTCAGAAGTAAACTGTGTAGGCCGCTCATATAGTAAGCATCATTGCTAGTTAATAATAGATTTTTGGTTTTTTTAAATGGGTGATAATGGAATGGTAACCCCGCCTGCACTATCGGTATATGCTGGCAGGGCACCAGTGAGAGATGATAGGTGACGATAAAAACAGATCATTTAGCCCATCGTGTCGAATTCCACAGAATTAACCATGATGGTCTCCAAGGGGAACCACGTGGAGATCGATCTGATAGGGTGTATTGCTAGCAATGGGTTTATTAGACCCTATTACAAACAATTCCTTTCCCCCAGATTTTTGCTGTTAAGCAATACTAGGCAAAAGCCACCTTCCTTTTTTGCTCTAATTTTATAAAACACATTAAATTTAATATTCATATTAGTTTTAAGTCTCTTACTTCCTACTCGTACGCATGATTCCAGAAGTAAGAAATCAATGACTACTTCTAGATGGCAAATTAAAATAAAAAATACACCAGATTTTAAATTAGACCTTCAGAGACAACTGTAAAAATCACATCTAATTTAGTGTAGTAGTTCCAGCGCCTGAACAAACATACAAACATAAATTCTAAAAAATATTGTTTTTGCTTCTATTGGTCTTAATAAAACCACTCATATTAATTTTTCTTAAATATATCCCATATACTGGTATTGTCTAGTTACAATTTTATTATATTGATAATATACAGAATTAATTCAAAATCATTATTATCATTTTGGTTGTATTTCGACCCTTGTGCCATTAGAAAAATGTTCAGTTTAGTAAAGACGCTAAATATTTCATTACTTATGTATATATATAAACCCACAGTGCTGTTAGAATTATACAAAATATAAATCATTAGAAATGTTGTTGACATTACGTACTTTTATTCTGAATATTTTTATACTGTTTTATTAAAATTAATACAAATTATTTTCATCAAAATACATTTCAGATAATACCGAATGGAGAGGCAATTGCGACAATATCTTTCATGACATTTTCCCATTCGGAGATATGGAATGTGGAAAATACGTAGTCTGCGACCAAGGCACAGCCATCACGATGGCATGCCCAGAGGGCCTTGTATTCAATGCTAATAGAAAAGCTTGTGACTGGCCTGTGAATGTACCAGCATGCAATCCCGATGGTAAGTGATACAATTTACTTTATATGATAGTTTGGTTAATAGATCAAATTATGTAATAACTATGTATTTTTAATCATGTAAATTAGATGTGTTATCAGCTTGTTCGTCATTATAAATTGTATAAAAAAGATTATTTATATGCTGGAATAAACCGTTCGCATAAATCTTCACCAACTTTCTAAAGAACTGTTGATTTTATGTTCTTATTGCTAAACTATATAAGAGAGTTAGCATTCTTGAATTCAATTTATATTAATAACTCCCACCTAGTAACTACCTATGTTATTATACATAATTTTATGTTTCAAGCATTTATTTGCAATATTAGTTTAGGCCAAATCTTGTGAACTGAATTAAAGCCAGTTCTTTTAACCGATATATACCTTTTATTCTGATGACAATACAATATGCAATACTCAATAATATAATATTTTAAAATGACCACAGCCACAAGATGACAGATGGTGTGAATTTTTTCAAGTCGATTAATATCGAAGCTGGCGCTATTGGCCAGTGGTATTTTAAAAAGATTAAAGCTCTTTTTTAAAAGGTAACAGTCTTAAAAAGGTATAAATCTTCAAATCTTGTTTATTCAGAAACACCACTGCAAATAGTTAATTCTAGATTTTTACAATACGTTTTATGAAATTCGCATTAAACATGCAACAGTAGAGCGTTATTCATCAAGATGATATTGGCGGAAGTTTAATTTGTGCCAGGTGTATTATAGTGAAAATTGGCGGGTGGTATTGAATTGAACAACTCTTCGTTTCTTATAAAGAAACACAACGTCTCTGCATAGATAGAGACGCCAATCAGTCCTGGCCTTCAACGTGGCGCGGTCAGCCGGCGCCCGAAGATGTGTGCCCTATATAGGAACATAAAATTGTATATTGGATTGTACAATAGCAACAGTACAGTTAGATCAATCGATGCCCTTTTTGTATCGTCGTCGGGGCACCGTCAAATAGACCGGTCGTATAGCTCGAGCATCCGATAAACAATGGGAAAAAAAAGTGGCGACTCCATTCAGTCGAGCATTGTGTGAAATGACCTCTTGAAATCTTGAGATGGAGTGATGATCTAACATCTCGAGATTCGCTGTATGCAAATGGCACAGGATCGTACTTTCTAGCGAAATATGCGAGAAACGTATGTTCAATTAGATCCAAGAATGTAGGTTGTAATAATAATGATGACTCACCGGTCTGACAAAAATATTAATATTTGCACAATTTTTTCACAGTATTCCGTGGATTCACCTGTCCTGAGCCCATGCGAGATGACAGAGGTCGAATGTCAGACATTATTTCAAAATTCAGGTATGCAATCAACATTATTCCAAATTTCTTTATAATGTCTTTTATACTTTTTTGATAACAAATTATTCGGTACATTAAAAATAATAAGTATTCAGGTGTATTAAAAATCCCGTTAATATTTTCATTCATATCATACAATCTAATATAATATAGCAAAATAACGTAATACAAATTTACTTTCTTCCAACTAAATATACAGTTTAAATCTCGATAAGAAAAAATAACACAGTAGATGGCGGTAGTGGTCAATATAATTTTATGTCAGCTAAATCCATTTATTAAAAAAGTCATTATTTACAATAATAACGACGATATTATTCCAAAAAAAATATCGACTTTAATCTTAACAAAATTGGAGAAATCCAAAAATTATTTTTATTTAAATAGACGATGAAAGTCGATCCAATTAACGAAAAGTAACATAACATGAACATATCAGACGCAGTAAATATAATCAGTTGAAAACCGTCTATTTTTATGTCGATAAAAATAGAAAATAACATTAATATTTTAAACTTTTATTGCTTTTTAGATACGAACATGATTGCAGTAAATTCATAGCATGTCAACGGGGTTACCCTCGCCTTCTAAGCTGCGACGCTGGATTTTACTTCAGTGATGTAACTAGAAGCTGCGTCCATGCTGCTCTTGTACACAATTGTATACCCACACCACCAAAAAATGATATGTCGACGACTGATATGCCATTTGTATACATATAATAGTGGTTCTGTAAATAATCACTTGTAGGCAAATAAATTTTTGTTTTCTTTGTAGAAAAATGTATTTTATTAATTACACGCCTAGATATGAGGAGATAAATTGATTTGTATATTGTTTATTATTATTATTGCGATTAAGATTCCCCTACATTGAATCAAGACAATGAATAGCCGCACTGCATTATAATTTTTTTGTGAACTATTCAATAATAATTTTATAATAATAATAGGTAAGCTATTACTAAGAACAAGGAATTACACAGAAGGAATTATAAAGACTAAATTATATGGTTACTCCTTTCTTCTTATGCAAATATAATTAGTAAAAAAAGGACGAAAGATACACCATCAGATGTCATTTTTCTCAATTCATAGCAGGCTAGTGTATAGAAAGTGTTTGATATGTCAATTATTTGTCAACGACAAATTTTACATTACTAGATTATATACTCGTATTTGACAGAAAGCAAGCAAGCAGGTTGTATCTGAATTTGGTAGAGTTATACAGCCGTATAATATTTTCTATACACTAGCCTGAATGGACAATTTTATCATCCTTCTATCCCAGAGATGCGACAGATTTAAATAAGTAATCCAAAAATAACGGATATGACACTTTTTCAATCACTCTTAAGCTATTGTTTTTTGGAACGGTACAATTAAATCTTCATTGCTTTCTTTGGAAAAAATGCAAAGGGCTGCCTGACAGTTACCACACAGAAACCGTATTATTATTCAACCTCCCAACTTTACATATTTTAAATATACTATCAGTACTTAACGCGATGAAAAATTTTTTTATTCAACAAACTGCTTTGACAACAAACAAATTATTATTATTATTTTAGATATATTCATTAATAAAACAATGTCTAAATTTTTTCCATAAGATATATAAATAGATGGATCATCATATATTTATTACTACGGTGAGCATCGAACTCGATGCAATGCAGTCGGCTAGCTTATGTTATCCGTTCGAACCTTTACCGCCAGCTACGGCAAACAGTATACTCTGTTATGTGCATGGTACTGCTCATGTCTATAGGCGACGGTTACCACTTTCCATCAGGTGGGCCGTCAGCTTGTTTGCCATTCTAAGTTGTATAAAAACTATAAAAAAAACGGCAGCTAGCGCGGCTATTGATAGACGACAGGCACGATAGCTGCCGTAGCTGGCAAGTAAACGTAGTTGTTGCCCCCTTGTCAATAAATCGACGCTGTTTTATAGTGTGCCATGCGCTCGAGGATGGCAATTATCAATAGCTGACTACATCAACGACAGATATTTTGGCCGCAACTATTTTTTGCATAGCTGCTGTATAACTGCGAATCGGTATAGCTTCCCATCGCTAATTCAGACATTCCCTATGAGGCATAATAACCCAAGTGTACTGAAGCCTCAACAAAAACTAGATTTAAAAAAACCTACAACCAAGAAAAGAGTTCGGCTAATTAACTTCTACTGTGAGTAAGTGCATACGAGGTTTGTCCGGAAAGTACGTATAAAAGTTTTTTAAAAATTTTATTTTACAATTATTCAGGTAAATCAATTTTATCCCCTTCAAAGTACTCCCCCTGTGACATAATGCACTTGTGCCAACGCCGTTTCCACTGTGAGAAGGCTCCTTGAAAGTCCTCTGGTTGTAGGTTTCTCAGCTGCCCCGTCGTAGCTTTTTTTATCTCATTTATGTCCCCCAAATGCCGCCCCCGAAGTACCAATTTGGTTTTTGGGAACAAGAAGAAGTCACACGGGGCCAAATCCGGCGAATAGGGGGGTGTTCGGTCACGGTAATGGAATTTTTACTCAAAAACTCACGGACAACAAGAGAGGTGTGGGCAGGGGCATTGTCGTGGTGAAGAATCCAACGCCCCTCTCGCGCCAATTCTGGACGAACTCGTGCCACACGAGCTTTGAGGCGTCTGAGCACATCGACGTAGAATTTTCCATCAACTGTCTGGCCTGGAGGGACGAATTCTTGATGGACAATCCCCCGAACATCGAACTCTTTCTCGGCCCTCTCTGAATCTTTTTAGCCACTTGTGGACGGTTGGTTCCTTCACAGCATCATCCCCATAAACTGTTCTGAGATCGGCAAAAATTTCACGGCCATTCTTGCCGAGTTTCGAGAGAAACTTGATTACGACGCGCTGCTCTTCAACGGAAGCGGGCTCCATGCCGACGGGGTTTCGTTAAGAGGTAACTTCACAGATGGCGTGACAAGCCAGTTCGCACCGCACGGCGGTCAGACCAGAACTGAAGCATTGTTAGGGACATAAGGAAGGGGTCCTGCGCTTACCTGGCCTCCCCACTCCTCTTTCTCGCATTCTAGAACACTTTTATACGAACTTTCCGGACAGACCTCGTATATTGTTGTCTCTATGCCTATGTAAGTGTGTAATAACTACACAAGAGGATAACTGAAATTAAAAATATAAAAACTACAAACATAATTAACAATTTAAGATACGTTAGTGTAAAAAAAATATCGGTGAAAAATTCAATCTTACCAGATTTAACTTTTCCATAAATTATACTATCTCACAAATAGGTTCTGCTCTTTATAATTTTCACCCCCTTTTTTCTACATTGATAGCGATTAAAAATAACAAAATTTACAGCATTTAATATAATTTGAGCGTACAGCTTATCAATATGACGAACTGGCGTGCGTTATAATTCGTTAGAATATTATCACACGTGACAAAACAGACTGTAACATCATTCATTTTACTGTAGAAGCAGCAAAAGAGAAATATCTTGCACATACATTCAAATTATACTTTGTCTGCTTTATTATTATACGCCTATAGGTTAACAAAAAAGAAAAATAAACAGTAATTTGGGTAGATGACGTTAGATTAATGTCGTACAGTGAAACTTATATTTATTGAAGTAAACTTCTACCGCTCCATTAGAAATTTTTCAGAATTTTAACGCCAAAGGAACGACTGCCCAATAGTAAGGCAGCTTCGAGGAAGTGATATCAGAAACTTTGTGCTTCAAGGCAGAGATTGGCTAACTGTACTAGTCACAACTCACACGTACAACAGCCCAAATGAGAAACTTATTGCGAAAATAAAAATCCAATTTACATTTATATTAAATAGCAATATTGCTTTCTAATCATCATCATCATATCCGCCCTTAATCGACCACTGCTGAACATAAGCCTCCCCTTGGGGGATTTTGCCAGAGTTGCCACGCTTGGCAGTAGGATTGGCAGTCGCAGTCAGGCTTTAAAGATGTTTCAAAGGAACGCTGTTGTCCATCCCTCGCCGTCCCGTAGTTGTCTTTTACAACACCCATGGGAAAGTAGGGGTGACCTATTCTATCTACCGAAGATTTCTATCCACAGAACAAGTTACTACCAAAGGAAGGAACTTATACATACATAATAGTAATTTTAGTTTCTGAATTACTCTGTAGAGGCAGCACCAATGAAATGCAAATAAAATGATAGAAATAAAGTTAAACAACACTTTTCAAATTGTTGCAAGTATTTGTTATTATAGGGAATCATCTCCTAATTTTTAAATCCTCCTTCAACAGATATTTAGGATAATAGTTGAGTAATTTATAATTATAATAAAAAAACTTACATTATATCTATGATAACAAGTAATGCAAAAACAAAACTTAAATCAGTTTGTTTTCAATACAAAATAAAATTAGTCATTCTATGATTGGTTAATTTTATATCGTGTAATTAAACATCCAATCACTTTTAGTTTCATTAATTTTATATGTTGTAATTGAAAACTAGTACCAATTTTTCAGCGAAAGTAGAGCAGTTTTGGAGCCAATTTTTAATTTAAATTTGAATTTAGATTTACCTTCTTCTTTTTCTTTGATTACTTACTGACCAATATTAAAAATGTATAAATTCAAATTAAGAAAATAACCTTTAGAATATGAAGGTTATTTCAAAATGTAAACCTAATGACGAGGCAAGTCGTACCTACGAGACATTCCGCTAGCGCAGCCCTGGCGGACATCGCCCCATTTGCCCCTTTGGATCGAACGATTGCGTAGTCGCGCTACAGCCGCAGGCCTTCTAGCCCTATATTTATTTATTTTTTAGTTGTATCCAGTGGCAATTCTAAATTTGAAATCGATTTATACTTTTAATTTATGCATCATTGACGCCTTTCAAAAGTTGATATAAATTACGTGTAAAATGGAAGATTCATACATAATCGCCAATTTCCATGCTCTATGTCGATTGTGTCTGAACAAAAGTACATTCACAACATCGATATTCGGTGTTGCACCAGATGATGAAACCAATGTATCTTTAACCTCCAAAATAGCTGAATGTTTCGAGCTACAGGTAAATTCACTCTATTATAATAAATTTCTAAATATTGTATATTTCATATGTTTTGCATATTTTAATATGTTTATTTTTTTAAACAGGTTGACCCTAATGATGGACTCCCTGGAAGAATTTGTTACAAATGCTTATTCAAAGTAGATAAATGTTGTAAATTTAAGTTGCAATGCATACAAAACGAAAATAGACTTAGAGAAATTACAAACAGGGCAAATGACCTGGATAATTCTAACTCATCTGAGCAAAGCAATTATAATTATAATAGTCAAGAACTACAGAAACCAAAACCTGAAGAGTATATAGTTGAAGATAGTGTTGTGATGGTTGTTGATCCGAGCCTTGATTATGATTCTTCTGAGGAATCTGAGAACTTGGAGCAAGTTGAACAAGAAGTAGCTGAAAGGGATAATACTCCTGAAGGTGACCCTATGCCAGAGTCCTTTTTAAAAAATGTTTTTATGTGTCAGTATTGTGATCAAGCATTTATTTCTCAAGAAAAATGTAAAGAACATGAATTAAATTGCCATGATCCTAATTTACCATATAGGTGTGTTGAATGCAGTCTAGTGTTTGCAGAACGTAGTCAGTATGTACAACATACTAAACAAGTTCATGGCAATGATAAGCCATACCACTGTCCAGAATGTGAAAAATGTTTCGGCAGACGTTCAGATTTAAGAAAACATTCAATTGTACACACTGGTATTAGACCTTATCAATGTCAGTACTGCTTGAAAAGTTTCTCCCGCAATACTAATTTAAGTAAACATCTTCGTATTCATGCAGGTCATAAGCCACATGTATGCCCTTTATGTCCTAGAAGCTTTGTTGGGAAAGGAGATTTACAGCGTCATGTACTAGTCCATTCAGGCATGAAACCATATGCATGTAGGAAATGTCCTTTGACATTTGGCCGACGAGATAAACTTCTTAAGCATGAAGCTAGACATGGTCCAATAAGTCCAGAACACAAATCCAATGAATATGAAAATGACCAAGACACACATGATATGGTAGTTAATGTTAATCCTTTCAACAACCTTATGACATCACCTTCTCAACTTAATCCTGAATCTTCTAATACTGAATATGATTTACCAAGAGTTCCAGACCACATTTCTGGAGAAAGTAGTTTTATAAATCAAGTCCAGAAAAATCCCTGCACATCATCTAAACATGTACAAAATTCACCTCCAAAACAGAAGTCAGTGATTACAAACAAAAACAGACCAAAGAATATAAAGTGTCATCAATGTCCTAAAAGATTTTCGTCACTTGATGCTTACAAAACTCATGTATCTATTGCTCATGTAGGATCAAGGGTATTTCAGTGTAAAATTTGTTTTAAAAAGTTTGCAAGAAAAAGAGAACTAGATCGCCATGCAACATTGCACTCTGGGGTGAAACCATTTGCCTGCAGTCAATGTGATAAAAAGTTTACAAGGAAAGATAAGTTAGACAAACATGAAGAAACTCATGAAAGCTTGGTTGTGAATCTGCCTTGCATAGAATGTGGTGCCACCTTTGAAAAAAAAGCAGACTTAGTAGCACATTTGAAGTCCCATTTTACAGATAACTTCGATGAGAAGTGTCTGGAGACTCAAATAAAAAAGGAGGAAGATTCAGAATTCCCCGTAGAAGATAACTTCTATGATTTAGAAACTTGAAACTTAGACTCAACATTTAACAAATGTTTTAACATAAATATTTAGTTAATTTGATGTGTAACATAGTATATTCGTACTTAATGTAAAAAACTTGTAGAAACTTACACTGAATGTTGAACAAATAATTTTTAACAATGTATCTTGACCATAATCTTTAGAGTACATGAACTATTTTGTTAATTACTATTGAAATGAATATTGCACTGAATTTGCACACATTTTATTAAGCATATTCAAATCTTTTTTTTTTATTATGCACAATGACATTATGTAAACTTGATTATTGATTGCATAATTGTTGATTGTGTGGATAAAGCACAGAGATTGAAGAATAACAATTGTTTTGTCCGCCAGTATGTCGGCCTATTTTATTTTATGAATTTAAGATTGGCGAAGTTATTATATGTGTATTCTTTTACATGTAAAGGAATATTATAATAATGTAGTTAGAAACTTAATGTACATATAATGGGGAAAATAAAACCTTATGTAGATAGGTACTTACTATCTAGACAATTGGTAAATAATTATAATCATACACATGATTGAAGAAAAATAAGTAAGTACCTCTACTGTAACTCCTCAATATCTGACCCAGAGGCAATGTTTTAACATAAGTAGTAAATCTGTAAAAATCAACAGTAAGCTTTGACGCAAACTTGTGTTCGAATTTTACTTAATGTATCTATAATATGCAAATCAAATACCATATGTCCATATTTAAGTAATAAAAATGCATATAAGTATTTTAAAAATTGTAATCTAATTATCTAGATTATATTCAAACTATATTTATCATGGTTTAACAATGACAATTTTATTATTATTTTTATTATGATAAAATGGCCTATGAGGTGACAATTACATACAGCACATCACAATGGTTAATTAATTGTTACATTAAGTATTTCAAAAATATTTAAGTATTAAACTTACTGTGATTTAAAAAAAAAAAACTATTAACAGAATAGAAAATAATCCTTTTTATTTAATTACTAAGTTGTCTGTATTATTATTATTGTCTGTTATATCAAATGGTACCTAATTTAGCGAAAATTTTGAGCAATAAAAGTTGTCATACCATAATTTATTTTTATTATAATACTAGTTGACTACTAACATTTTGCTCACTACCACCGCCTACCGGGTCTATTTTTTCTTATCGAATAAAACTGTCCAAAGTAGTTTTTATGGGATAAAAATAGTAAATTTCCGTTATCACTATACGCGAGAATAGAGGAAGTAGCAGAAAATTAAAATAGGCGATGGTGAAATGGTGTCAGTTGGCTCATCATGACGAATTCTAAGTTTCCGAAAAATACAATTTGGAGGTCGACATGACAATATGTTGCCAGCAATAAGGCTGCTAAAGTCTATAATAATTCTACTCTCTCTAATTTAGAACAAATATATAATATATACTAACAAAATTTTAGTTGAACCGTTAGAGAATGGTATGAACACCTACCCTACCCTACACTTACCCTGAAAGCCGTCGTGGTGAATTCCAGATGTATTCATTATGATGGGATGACCTGCTTTTTTATTCTCACCTATCATCCCTCACTGGTGCTTTGCCAGCGTATACCGTTAGCGCTGGCGGGGTCACCATTCCATTGTCATCCATTAAAAAATACGTAGTAAGAATTGGGCCTACTACTGTCACTTGGATTAATATAGTTTGTTAACGGTAAAGAATTTTAAAAAGTACTTAAAATGGGGTTTAATATTCAATTGTTGATAAACTAAATAATACCAAATTATAACACAAATGTTCATAACAATTAATTGTATTTTCTTTATTATTACAAACAGTTCTCATAACATTCAACCGGCTAAAGGATTTGCATGTATTGTTGTTGATGTTATTCTTGCTTCTGTAAGGGGCCTAAAAGTTTTGGGATTCACTGGCATCTTTTCTAAATCGTCTAAAGCTTCAAACCCATCGATTATTCTGAAATAAAGGAATAATAACATATTATTTGTAAAAATTGTTATTTTATTATGAACTGAGTGTAAATAATAATGATATATATAAAATGACGCAAGCATCGTCTAAGATTTCATTGTATAATATTGTGGCCATAAACTGAGTTATCATATGACCATTCAATTACCAAAACTTTCATTACTTATATCCAACTCTAAGAAAGTTGGTTATTTGTATACAAAAAAAAGAAACTTGATTTACACATTTTGCAATTCTTATGATGTTCTTACTCATAGACAGATCTAAAAAGGGAGTTAAAAATTCTTTAGATTTTTAGTAAATCAATGGCCTAAAAGGATCAATCGTGTGAATTAGCGGATTGGCAACCACAGTTAAGCTTTGAAGATGTTCTAAAAGGGACACTGCTGCCCATCTTTCGCCCTACCCACCACCACAGGAAAGGGTGACCTATTCTGGGGGCTGGGACCACAAAGAAAAAACGAAAATCAGATGAATTATAGGCATAGATTTCGAAAGTAGAAAAACCAATAAAATAGTAATCCATTTTAGATAGTATGTGATGATAAAATACACACCAGTTTTCAAGTTAGACCTTCAAGAATACAACAATGAAAACAACAATGGCAGAACAAACACACAGAAAAAAAATATTGTTTTGTTTCTATTGCTACTATTACAACTTAAATTCTTACAATTATAAGAACATTAAAAATATGTCCTTTGAATTATTACACACAGACAACAAAATCCTCAAAAAAATATTGTTTTGTTTCTATTGCTACTATTACAACTTAAATTCTTACAATTATAAGAACATTAAAAATATGTCCTTTGAATTATTACTATTTTAATAATAATAATAATAATAATTTTTATTTCAGACTTTTTGGTCCATTAAATATTTATTAGTAACAATATTCTTAAAAAACTAATGTTAGTAAATTTACATACACAATACACATATACACACATACACACATACAATATATTAAGTAGTATACAGATAATCACCGCTGCACAATTCCATTGGAAATTGCGCAGCAGTGATTAACATACACACAGTCCAGCCTGCTTGCTATCATACTCAGGATGCTGTTGGTGCTGGCACGTACTCTGCGCACCAGGGATGCACACCTTTTTCGCATCGTGGCATAAAAACAATCTACACGATGCTCAGCGAACATCCCTGACGCGCTGCAGAATCGTGGCAGCCCCATCAACACCCTGAACGCGTTATTATATTGGATACGGAGGTCGCTGTAGGATTTTTGAGTATATACAGCCCACAGGTTGCATGCATAGAAAGATGTGCAATGTGATCTAAATAACGTAATTTTAACTTGTCTAGAGCACCGTGCAAACCTGCGTGCTATCATATTCGCCCTCACCGCCAGCGCCCTCCGCTCCCGTTCAATGTCATCATCATCTTTGAGATCCGAGGCCAATTGATGTCCTAAATATTTAAATTTATACACCCTCTTCAGCGCTATACCCTTAAGTTTAATATCTGGAAAGCCTATTGAGTTTTTGCCTCTGCTCTCAAAGACCATGACCACACTTTTCACAGCATTGTATATCAGTCCGTAGCATGCAGCATATGACTAATTAATGCAAAGTGAAAACTAATATAAGCATTAATTTAAATACATATGTATTCAATTGTATGCCTTACCTTCCAAATATTGTGTATTTCAGATCTAAATGAGGTTGTTCTCCATATGTAAAGAAAAACTGGCTTCCATTTGTATTTGGACCATTATTTGCCATGCTGATAATTCCTCTCGCATTATGCTTTAAATATAAAATATATATTAGATTTTAATAAAGATTAATTATATATTATAATTAATTACCGAATTTAAACTCAAATAATTTATAATTTAAATTCTAATTTTAGAGATAGAGTGGATGAAGCAAGAGATGTTTAGCAAAGATAATTTTGACACTCAATATTTTCACTCCAACAATGAACCCCATGTGAAAATAAATAAAATACTAGCTTGTCCTAGAAAACATTGTTTTGGTTCTTACTGCTGCCTACCACATTAATTTGTGGTAGAAATTATCCTATCTCAAGTTGAAATAAACAATACAAATTTACAAAATTTAATTAAAATCTGTTGAGCAGTTTGAGAAATCAATGTGAAAGAACATTGTTAAATATTACTGCTACCTGGTGCTACTGTCACCTACCAAATTCATTTTTTCAGCTTTTTCTTAGCAGCATTAAAACTAACTTATTTTTCAATCCGGAGCAAACAATACACATTTACAAAATTTCCAATTAATATATATGTATTGCAGCATTATAACCATATGAAGCATAGATATAAAATATCAAGATATAAGCAACCCATAAACCAATACATTCAAATCTGTTTAGTTAATAAAGTGTCATTGAGATACAAACATCTGTACAAATTCTCACATTTACAATATTAGTATATATACTGGAAATGTTAATTGAAATACCTATTATAAAAATACAAATCAGTCAGAGTATTTTTTTGACTAGCCATAAATATAGAACATTATGTTTATTATTACCTTTAATTCTTCTTTGAATTCATCTTCAAACTTTCTACCCCAAATAGATGTACCTCCTTTGCCTGTACCTGTAGGATCACCAGTTTGTACTATAAAACCCTAGAAAAAAAAAACTTTAATGAGGAGAGAATTACTATTTTTAATTTAACTGAGCCATCAGTTATTAGACTATTCAAACTACTTTTGTGCGAAAACATTTCTATAACATAAACTAGTATGTAGTAACAAAATGAATTTAATATATAATAAACAAAATTGAATTTAATATACCTTTATATTTCTATGAAATATGCAACCGTTATAATAGTCACTTGCACATAGAGCCAAGAAATTTTCACAAGCTTTAGGACACTGCTCACAAAATAATTCAATTTTTATATCTCCAACGTCCGTATGTAATGTCACTGACATTATTACTTCTTTTTGCACTGTTATGATATTTTATAAAATGTGAGCAAGATTATTTAGTCCTGTAAGGCCTTGTGCAAAGCAAACATAATATTGTAAATTTTATTCCAAATTTCCAATAGGTATCTTTATTTTAAAATTGTAGAGTTGATTAGTATAATTATACCCAATTTGAACTAGAGATTTTGATTGAAATTAAATAAATAAAGAAGAAATAAAAAAAGGATGTAAATTTATTCTGCAATATGTAAATAACAAATATAAAATAAGTTGTTGTAGTTTCTTCACAGAATAAAAATACTATAGTAAGTGAAATTCGATTTTAATTAAAGTGACAGTGACTGTATGAAAAGCTGTCAAAGATGACAGTATTTAAATAACATTGCCACAGATAGGGATCTGCAACAAGTACTATTCTTAATTTATGATCATACGGTCCGCAGTTTTGAAATTATAAACCAATCCCTAAATTTAAATATCTCAAAATAATTATTTATATTTAATAGTTTAGCACAACTATTGTCAAAGAGAATAGTAATATAACGGAATTATTATATTATGAACATAATGATCCCGTTATGTAAAGTCGTTCTGATGTAATTATACTAAAATCATTTATACTGGTCTTTATAATAATCATTTTGTTATAATCTTAAATAAAAATTTTAAGTTTTAAGATAGGCATAAACAATGCACCATTCTTTATGACAATCATACAGTTTTAAATATAGGTCTTAAAAGCCCTCCTATACGTAATAATCTGGCTCAAATCATATTACTAAAATTTAGGCTTTATAAAAATATTTCTTTATTTAAATATTGATTTCATGTAAGTATAATATTTGAATTATTATACTTATATGAAATCTAAGATGAAATAATTATGCTAAGCAGCGCACAATCTTCAATTTGCAATTAAAAATGTAAATAATATTTACTTTTGACTGGACAGTTAATAATTTTATTTTATTCTACTACCATTCACATACGTGCGACTGGCTACATTTAATGATTGAGTTAAGTACTATTATTATTACCTTCCCTATTAGTTATCAATCTCTAACTGTTATTCAGTCTATGCATATTCATTTCGGCGGTTCAAATGTTAAAGGTTCAAGGTCATAGAATAATAAAATCATACGTTAATAAAATAAAATTATTTATTGAGATCACATTAAATGGCTATTTATTCACTACCTCCAGACCTTTCATTCTGTCCGGCATGTGGTTCATATATATTTTCATCCATTCCTTGCTCCCCGTAATTCCCAAGTATCCTCTGGCCAGTAGGATCAAACGGTGATTTCAAATGAAGATTTGCTCTATATTTTGTTCCCATGACTTCGATTTCATAATTTCCATCTGTTAAGTACTTTCCAGTTACCTCTAAACCTTTATTTGTGATATATGCAATTCCTATAGGTTTATCAAGATAATACGCATAATCTCCTCTCCTTAGGTGACCAACAGGCTCGCCATTCCTGAATACCGCTTCTTGGCCGTATATAGCAACCTATAAACAAAGTACAAAAATTTAGATAAATTTCCGATATCCGTAATTTTAACTATCCTTTAAACAAATTGGAGACTTAATAAATTTTATTATTTGTGGTTTCTGCCTAACCCTACTGCTTCCTTTTTTAATATGTTATGTATTATGCTAATATGTTTAACAAATGGTATAACTATAGTCACTATTATGACTTTTGCTTATATGCGGAAGTAAAAAACATGAGTTAATTTGTAAATATATAAAGTAAGTCTATTAAGCCAATTCCCATATGGAGTAAGCATAGAGGAAAGAATTTATAATTTCTGTAAATACTGTACCTTATCGTCGAGTGTGAAATATGCGTATTTTTTGGACACACCATTACTTCTCGCTTTTGCAACATGTTCGTTGCCAATATATTCGCCATTTTCACGACACGTGAAACCCAAGTTGGCCTCTATAGGATTATCATCTGTTCTCAGATCGGCATTCCACAAGTGATATCCTGAAATTCAATTGAATCTGTACGTCCATACTATCCGTGTAGTAATAGGGTATTGTCCTTGTTTTTATCCACTAGATGCCGAAGGTGACTAAAGAAGTAAAATGTACCAGTACTCGAAATAAAACCTTATATATACCAAACACATGGCTCTTTTATGGCTCTTTCCTAGTCGTTAATGAGTTTTTATATTATAATACCTATGCAGATAAAGATTCGCATACATTCCCAACTACAAATAAAACTATAGATAATATAAACTTCTAATAATAGCAAAAATAATTAAACGAAAACAAATGTATTGTAGTTAAAAAGAATCCCTACCAATATTTATTTATTTATTTAAACACAATAATATAATATATGTAAGTGTACATACGTCGGACTTAACACCTAATGGCGTTCTTTACAAGAACCATGAGGCAAGCAGAAAATTATGTAGGCGGTGAATTTACTACTAAAACATGTGTTATATAGCAGATAAAAGAAAATAAAACAGAAAAATACCTATGACTGAAGCAAAAAGTACAATTAAAAAGCAAAAGAATGGAATAAAGCGAAAAAAGAAGGTTGTTTAAAAAAATCTGTTACCAGTTTTTTAGGAAGTAGTAGTTTATATTTAAACATAAATTTGTTTGTCAGCTCTTAGTATCTTAACGGCTCAAGCAATCGTCATTACATTTACTATTTATCTACTATATGGGATAGAGAATAACGGACTGCTTTTTTTATCCTGATCGATCGCCATATACTTAGCCACATATAACAGCTAGTATTTCATACTGAATTGTGAATCTATTTTAAATTTAGTGCATAGCATAAAAATTAACCTTTCTCGGCGCTAAGCGAAGTCAACGCCCTCCAACCAGCGTTCTGTAGACCTTTAGCAGTTTTCAGGGCCTTGTAAATTTGGATCGCATGTGACGACGGTATATGTAATTCCCAGCCCAACTCGCCCGACCAGCCCACTCGCAGAGCTCTGCAAGTGTAGACCTTATTGTCTACGCTGAATGGTGCTTTATGGAACTGGATACTACGGTGCGTATTCACAGGGAAAGCGTCGTTTGATAGGCCCGCACCGGTGTAACGTTGCAAAATGCGTTGACTGTAAGGTAAATACATTATTATTATTTATTTGTATCATCCTATCAGCCGTTAACATTACTGTACATAAGCTTCCTCTATTAAGAAGTTTTGCCAGTAGTTATCAAGCTTGGCAGGCAGGTTGGCAACAGCAGTTAGGCCTTTGTGATTTTTAAAAAGGGACGATGCTGCCCGTTCCTAGATCATTAAATTCACTTAGTTACCTTTTACGACACCCAAGGGAAAGGAAGGAGTAGCCCAGTAATCTACCCGGGATTACAAAGCGCTTATTTTACTGGGTTTGGTTTACTTAAATGTACTATGTCTAAAATGACATGGTCATTTAGCCCGTGCATAATTAACTAAGATGGTGTTAGTCACGTTTGTCATTCAAGTTTTTTTAGGCAATTTAGAATGGCAAACAAGCTGACGGCCCATCTGATGGAAAGTGGTAACCGTTGTCTATAGACGTGAGCAGTACCATAGACATAACAGAGTATACTGTTTCGCCCATGATACCCCCATGCGTTGCCATTCCTGAGAACTAAAGTGCTATTCCTCTGTACCCTGTAAATTCACTGTCATATCTCCACCTTTCAAACCAAAACACAGCCATGCAAACACGACTGTTTCATGGTAGAAACAGAAATGGGACAGAGGTACCTAATCAAAGGACTTATGTACAAACTCTCACTCTGGTAATCGTTTAGTGTGTTTAGGTTTTACGTGAACATCTTCTATTTGGAAATCGGTTAATACAATACCTGTCTGGTCCTTGTACACTCAATATACAGAGCTGTTTCGAGACATCTGTGATGGTCGCACGCAATTTGTGCGTCTGTATGATTCGTCGCAAATGAGCTAGAGTGTGGTTAGCGTTAAAACCACTAGTTACAACATAGTAACCGCGGCCCTGCAAAATATACAAGTATTCTGTAAGTTCAAGTTAATTTTCAATTATATTAATTATTATGACAAAAGCGAATAGATGTTTATTACTTATCACCCACAAAAAAAGAATTGTTTGTATTGTTTATAATGTTGCTATTGTATATAATAACGGGACACTAGTAGAGGATGAAACGCAAGGATAAAGTAAGGTCAGTTGACCCATTTTGGTGAAGCGTTATAAGAACAAATCGCGGTGGTTTCCTAAGGAACTGCGTGAAGGTCAACCTTACATATCACTAGCAAAGAGAACTCAAGTCGCCATTACTAACAATTCTTAGAATCGGATCGTATTTTAATTAATTCTAGAAATTTTCAAATTAATATTTAGATCTTGTAAAAAATATCGTTCATTTCGTATTTAGAAAAAGACATCAAGGTTTGAAAATTCTAACTACCAGAGGGCGGCATCGCTATACGATTACTAACAGTTATTGATAAGTATATTTTTATAAGTACCTTAAAAATTGGTTCATGCAACTGTCCACTTCCCCCATCCAGAATACTAACAGTTACATCGGCTTCAACACCCCCCTTCTCGTTCAACAGCAAAGAATACACCACTCTGAAAATAAGTAATATGTAAGAAAAATAAATACAAACTGGAAGGTTGATTACATTAATAAAAAAGAATGTTCTTTATCTCCAATGCATAGTGATCATCTTTGATATCATATGAATATTTTTAATTAACAGGTTATATATCAAAGTTTGGTGGCATAAGCATCAAAAATAACTTTACCGTACAAAAATTATCAATTAAATTACAAAAAAAAGTAAGTAAGTAAAGTTAATGATCGAGAGATCCTCTTAAAACCTCATTAAAGGCTAACTGCGGTAGTGAACCCGTCTGCCAAGCGTGGCAACTACTGGCAAAATATGGGAAGATATATGTTAAGCAATGGATAGTTGAATGGCTGATGATGATGATAATAAGTTGAGTCTCGAGTGATATATTTTACAAATCTACAAAAACGTATAATTAATGTATATAATTGAAAAATTATACATGTCAGTTGATTAGAAATATTATTTATATATATAAAATATATATATATATATATATATTAACCATATATATATATATATATATATATATATATATATATATATATATATATATATATATATATATATAAACTTTATAAAAAACATTAATGGCCAAAAACGGGTGTATTGTTTTTGGAATGCATGTATGTGAATTTATTTGTTTCCATAACTTATAAATGCTTGAACTAATTTAAATGTATGGAATACCGTCAGAATACTTATATCATCTCGAGTGACACTGGTTATAACTTTTTAAAAATAGTCAGTTTTTCGCCGGGCAGTCGTTTTTTGTAATATACAAAGCTAAATGTACATGTCTAATGAATATAATGTGTTTTCAATATAAAATTCACCAGTATTCTTTAGGTATTGGACAATAAATATGATAAATACCAATAATTTGGTCAGACATGAGTGCATAAATTGATTGCGCGAATTCTTTCCATTTTCTGTGCCAATTTTAGTCTTTGATTATGTATTCTTTTTTTGATCTCATCAAATATCTTAATTTAATCTAATAAAATCAAAATACCTTTCATAATCTTTAGAAAGGTCAGCAGTGAATGCCAAATTAGCGGTACGTTGTGCATCGGGACCAGTCAAATAAAATTTTCCATAGTACGATAAATTGAAAAGAGCGGCAGCATTTCTGCAGCTTAAGGCTTCTTTTCCTATCTGTAAAAAAATTTATACTTTAATTTAACTCTTTAAGAATGAATTTAGAGGTAATAATTACATTTTATATAATATAATATTATAAATTATTAATTATCAATGTATAACAATAACTTGATTCATTGTCACCATATAAATTTAAACAAATAATGAGATGCGATATGGGCAAACATATTTCAGTAACATCGATAAATAAGAAAGAAGCACGATAAGCAAAATACCATTTATATTACCATACTCTTTGTCATATATGTTTAAAAAGGACATTTTTGATTCAGACTCTTTTTATTAAATAAATAAATATATGCTCCTGATTGTAATAGAAATTGAAATAATAATATACATTACTTATAACTCTTTTATTAGCCACTAGCTTTTTGTCTGCTACTTCGTATGTGTGCCATTCAGGATTAAAAAAAAAACAATTAAATAGATTACTTCTAGATGGCGTATTAAAATTGAATATACACTAGATCAGCGATTCCAAAAGTGGGTTCCGTAAAAAAGTCACCAGTATTTCACTAAATTATTTATACAGTGAAACATTTTTATTCTTCACATTGAAAGTTAAAGGAAACTATAAAGTGCTATACTTTTAAAATGTTTCTAACAAAAGCTATTGTTCTTATTTAAATTACAGTGTTTTTAATTTGTAATCATTTGATATGAGGTTCCAATAAATAAAAGGTATTTGTTGGGCGTTCAGTTATGTTAGGAATTTAGAAACTCCTGCACTAAATTATAAATTACATCTTCTAGAATACAACTGTGAAAACCACGACCACTTTTGCTGACTACAGCTGACTGAAAACTACTAAGTTTTCGTGTGATGACGGAACAAACATTATCATTATCTAGTTATAATATTATTATTTTAGTAAGATGTAAAAATTCCTTTACATTTGTTGCACGTTATATGTTACAGTACAAATATAATAAACGTATAAACAATACCCACTATCATTACGTTATAGGATTTGCAAAGTTCATATATAATTATAATAGCAATTTTTCAAATTATATCAAATAAACCTAATTATAAACATTTTTAAATACTTTTTTTTATTCTACTATACATTCAAAATACAATTTCAGCTAAGAAGAACGCGCAAGAAACACACATGTTGCTTTTTCAAACAAAAGTTAATTTTACAATTATAAATATAAATTTGTGTCAATACAGACTAACACACAGCAGAAGGGTAATTTAAATTATTAGTCCATTCAAGTCCATTTATTAATCCCTGGTAGGGTAGTCAAAATCTTTTGACGACGGTTACAGTTGTATGGACATAGCTACATTTCGACAAGCGTATTTAAATCCAACGTGACAGACGGCAAGCCTACCGTCATACTCAGATTAATTTAATTTGTTACTAACTTTTTCCAATCCCAGAAAGTTAATAGAAAATTGTTTGTTGGTTAGAAATAAATATTTAAAGAAGTAGAACAATTTCACATACAAGATCGTGATGCTCAGAGAAACCAAACGTGTAGTCTCCTTTGAGGACCTCCTCGTACCGTTGATCTACGTTCCTGGGGTAGTCGTGGGTGCCGCCCCAATCATATTGCTGAACTCTTATCTGAAAAATTATAATGCAGGTACATTAATACGCGGGGATTACAATATATTTTTTATAACTTGGAATAGCAAACAAGCTAATGGAAAGTGGTATAGATATAACTATGGACATCTTAGCATACTCTATGATGCTGATAGTACCACTTACATGAAGATTCTTACTACAACCTATGATATATATTCGAACCCAGCAATGTTTAATGTATATGCAAAATGTGAATATTTGTTTATTAAGTATCTATAATCCATAATTACTTCAATTATAGTTCTTCCCCTCTGACTGTTTTCAGAAACTATAGCAATATTTTACTCAATTTAAACATGTACAGTAACACCGCCACTGTGTTATATTTCAAAAGTCCATATCACTGGTTAGTCTAATTAAATAAATTAAAACAATTTTAAATAAAACAAAATAATTGTAATCAATATTATTTCGCGCCAAACGACTCCTAAAAACGACTTATCACACCATAGTCCTCAGGAATGACAACGCATGAAGGTTATCATGGGCAACGCAGTAGACTCTATTATGTCCATGGTGCTATTATAGATATGCCCATGGTATACGATATATCCATAGACGGCGTTCATGTATGTATATACCACTTTCCATGAGATGGGCCGATAGCTTGTTTGCCATACCAAGTAGTATAAAAAATTCTTCATCTCTTAAACGAAAAAAAAAACAATGTATATTTCGGCATGAAGAATATATGGCAATATAATATAATACGGCATACCTTCTCTCCCGGCATGAAGAAACCTGGCCTCTCCCACCCTGCCCTAGCTTGCATGACCGCGCCATCATCCACCAGTTCCTGGTGCAAGGCGTCATGACTAGCATCTCGGCCTGCTAGACGCTCGTCGTGCGGGAACACTATACCGTAATTCCGCACGTATGCTTCATGACTGCTTTCACGGCACCAATGGGCGCGCGATAGCTGACCAGGCGTGAAGCGACGGATGTCAAATGTGAACATGTTGTATTGAGGCCTGTGGGCATAGACATATTTGGGAAGGATGGAGAGACAAGCCCACCCCAGAATTCCTCACCTCAAAATGACATGCAAGCATGGTGCTTGATGGTACTATATGCGAACAGTTAGCACTTTCCATCGTTTGATAGTCAGCTTTTTTACCATTCTAAGCGGCGTAAAAACATGTAGCCTTGAAATATTTTGAAACAGAGCAATGGATCGAAAAATAATAGCGCCTAAGTGAACGTAAGGGAAAGAAAAAAGTAATACAAAATTAAATTACATCACATATAACACAATATTAAACTATTTTAATATACCCATTCAAGATTATATAATATCGATTGTTTACCAAATATATTGTAGGTTGTAATAATACAAAAACAAAATAAAGCATTCATTTTAACAGCTATGACGTCACATCATGAAAATAAAGTGTAGAGATAGACGTTATACAGATAACCTAAGAGAGCTTGAGTATTGTATGGAAATAAATACGGCAAGAAATTATGAGAGAATAAATCTACGAGTCTCAATATTAACGTACAGAAATTATGTACCTAAGCAATTTTTATTACTATTAATAAAATTACTATAAATTACAATAAAAACGAAATAGAAGTCTTTAAAAAAATAGTAGTTGCAATCGAATAAACAAATACCACTGAATTACTGGTCATATGACACAATCCCATCCGAATTTAAACTCGGCTATGATTATATCATGAACCCAATGATAACTGATGGAAATTTTATTTTGTAAATAAAACAAGTGGGTATCGAACTCGCAACCACTGGATAGAGAAGCTTTGTGTGATGACGGTACAAGGCCATCGTAGTAGTTTCGATAAAGTCTAATTTGCTCTGGAAAAATTATGATTAAGGATTTCTAATACGAAAAAGTTCAAAGAGTCTCTCAAGTTAAAAAAAAACAATGCACAATTAAACGTAAAATTAAGAAATTCTGACCCTATGTTTTCTCCTTATTTCTGTTTAGTGTAAACATGATAAAAACATTCATATTGATAGAAAAATAGTATATTTACTAATAACAAAGATAAAATATTAATGAGAAAAAAATACCATCTCCTTGTTTCTATGTAAGATAATAAATAGCCTCATCATGCCGTGTCAACTACCTCTATATATTATATTAGGTAGTTTGTGTACACTTATTTTTATTTATTTGGTATTTTTAACAGCATATAATTGCGCAATAATAATTATCATTATTAACATTGCTTGACGTATAAATAGATTGTACGTCAAGCAGTCAGTAATGATACAAAATTAACTTTATTATTACAATTTCTGATTAAAGTCTGGGGTTCGATCAAGAATACTAGCTATCAAAGCGTGCATAACGGAAAGAAAATCGCTTCACGTGCATTGAAATTAATCTCACAATAGAATACTCTAAATCATAAGAAATTAAGTAATATGTACACTGTATTATTTAGGGTCTAGATGGCGCTGTGTAACATAGTCCAGTAGTGGTACTTATTTAGTGGTAGTCTGACATAATAACATTTAGATTTAAGCCAATTTTATATTTTTCTTCCAAATAGCCCATGTCAGCAGCCTTGGACTGAACTCTGAATTTAATCACTACAAAACTAAGTACTCGATCCTGTACGGGTAAACGCAGTGTAGGACGACCCCCCACTAAATGGAGTGACGACCTGAAATGCATGGCAGGGAGTCAGTGGATGCAGGTGGCTTAGGACCGTTCTTTGTGGCAGTCTATGGGGGAGGCTTATGCCCTGCAGTGGACGAATAATAGCTGAAATGACGATAATGATAACTACTGAAAGTTATCGTGATTTGGACTTAAATCCAGGTTATGTACCCACCTTCCGGAGATGACCCACTCAGCCATTTGAATGCCGCAACCAGCAGAAAACATCATACCCGCCGAATTGTAGCCACAATTATGATACAGACCTAAAAATATATATATATATATATATACTATTTGTAACCCGTTGCTTTTTCGTTGTTACGTCATATGAATTAGGATACAAGTGAATTTTACTCTTTAAAATACCCGCCAAAATAACAATTTCAAAAAAAAATTAAGTTCACTCGGGTAAATGTTAGCACTCTAACAATTTGGTATAGGTACATCAAAATCTATTGAGGGGTTTAGAAATTATAGTGAAATTAACAGAAACATTAAACTGAAACCATTATTTTTTGTGTAGTAATGTAAAACCTCAACATCTCAATAGTAAAATTAATATACCTAATCTTTTGGGGGAAACAATAAAGAGTATATATTTAGTTAAGTTAATTTCCACGCAATCCCCACTGAAAACCACTGGAGTTAAATTCCAATGACTTTGTCACTATGGACCAACTGACCTGACGCTCGCCTATCATCATACATTTCATATCATTTACATAAAAAAAAGATAGGAGTCGCCTTAAGTTCAAAAGACGATGTTTCCCTAACACTTAAATTACTGTTATTCTGTGTTTACCTACATATAAAGGAAAAGTTCATTATATTATTTATTAATATGTTTTTAAATGTAATTTTATGCGGTTTTGGAGGACTTAGAAACAAAGATGAAACATCTTATCCGTTGAGGGACAGTGCTTATCCCTTGAAAGTAAACAATCCAAAATATATAGTAATTTTGTAGGTAGTAAAAACATGTTCAAGCAAATAAAAGAAAGGATAATGTTACAAATAATTTATTTTAAAAGAAATCATAGTAATATATTAATTTAGCGAGCGTATAGAAAAAGATGAGAAAGAAGAGAAGAAAGCAAAAAGGTTTGTTAGAATTGAAGCATTTAGCGTTTCATTGTTTCTGCCTACCCTAATGGGGCACAGGCGTGACAGATATGTATGTATAATTTAATTATTTTAGGAGGTATTAAAAAAATTCTGCCAATTTAAGCGCCCATCTGAAAAACAAAAAGTTACTCGGTATTACCATTATAATAAAGCCAGTATAAAAACAAGGAACCTTGTTAAGCAACAATATGGGATATTTCAATATGGTATCAGCATAGTATCGACCACTGCTTCTTTTCCCGTAGGTGTGGTAAAAGGTGACTAAGGGAAGTTATGCTAGAGGGATAGATACTAGTATAAATATTACTATATATATAAATAACATCACCAAATCCTAACTGCGGTTGTCAAGCCGCTTGCTAAGCGTGGTACCTACTGGTAAAACCCCTCAATGGTAAACACCAAAAAGAAAGGGTTCCCAGTCTCCGGCGGCTCCGCTATTCCTGACCAAGATAGCAGTCATGGTAACGGTGGAATAAGGGACGCTAAGAATCTCCGGCAGAAATTCTTAGCACCCTCCGGCTACCAACAAAAACGACTCGACTTAGCAACATATAATGTACGAACTTTGAGAACCGATGAGAAAATTACGAAGATGGAAGAAGAGGTGAACAAGTTACACTGCTATATTATAGGATTATCTGAAGTCCGAAAACATGGGAAAGATATGATCATCTTTGAATCAGGTACTTGTTTTACCACCGATAGGGCGACCATCCGTCTCATGGTGGTATCGGGTTCATCGTTCGCAATTCTCTCGTAAATTTTTTTTTTATACAACTTAGAATGGCAAACAAGCTGACGACCCACCTGATGGAAAGTGGTAACCGTCGCCTATAGACATGAGCAGTAGCATGAAAATAACAGAATATACTGTTTCGCCCATGATACCCCCCATGCGTTGCCATTCCTGAGGTGTTATTCCTCTGTACCCTGTAAATTCACTCCATATCCCACCTTTCAAACCGAAACACAGACATGCAAACACAACTGCTTAACGGTTGAAACACGAATGGGACAGAGGTACCCAAGCAATCGACTTTTGTACAAAGTCTTCCTTAAAGATCGAGTGTCGGCAAGGGTGAATTACCTGGTATTCAGAATTACCAATAGGTATTCGCTGAAAGTAAAGGTAAGTACATGCATCGACCGTGACACACTCCGATGATGAGAGGGATGCACTGTATGAGAACATTTCAATAGCCATTCATCCCTCTAATACTCAATATATAGTATTGAAAGAAGATTTCAACGCTTAACTAAACTAACTAAACGACTAAGAAAACCTAATAGTTAATGGATTAATAGCAGCATCCCTCTTAAAACAGCACCGAAGCCTACCAGCGGTTTCTAACCCGCCTACAAACCATAGCAACTAATATTTTTTCATCTATAAATATTAAAAAATGAATAATATTCATCCAAAGGTGGTCTAAAAGTTTCGATTTTGAGCATCCATTATAATCACAGATCCAAATTATAGTTTAGAAAGGAATCTAATATAACACAACATATTGGATAATTTACAAAAATAATTTCATTTTAATATTATATATAACATACCTCTTAACTGATTTAAAGTTTCGTTTTTTATTTCCACTTCCTTCGCAACTGATTGCAACTGATATTCATATAATTTTCTTTTATATTGAAGTTCTTCTAATCGAAGCTGTATTCTAAAATCGTCTATGTCGTCTCTATTTTCGTTATTAAAATTTTTGTCTTCAGTCATCTTTGTTTTTATTCCCTCTAACTCTATTTTAGCTTTTTCTAAAAGTGTTTTGTTTATTTCTTCTTCAAATTTAGCAGATCTTTTTTTTATTCTTAACATCTGTAATTCTAATCTATATTTCTGCTCAGTAACAGAAAGACTGGTTTCTAAATTATCTAAAACAACAATTTTATTTATATGTATTAAAATATTATATAAAGTTAACGGTATATTACGTAACTAAAACATTACATTCCTTTGTTGATATCATATACTCATCACATAACTTATTCATATATACCATATAAGTAGCGGTTTCTGCTAGTTAGCAATTTGATTCAATTTAAAAATATTTGGTTGATGGAATTTCTAAAAATTCTGCCTTAGTAGAGGTTTACATTATAAAATGACTACCTTTAATATCTGCATCAATAGAATCACTGTCTTGACTTTTTACAGCTGTGTTTAAAATTATTCCATCGCTATCAAAAGAATTTTTAATTTCGTTTATAACAACAGGAGCATCCTAAAACACACATACACGAGAAATATTGTTAATAACCACATATAAAACACATTTTTTTTTTATGGGTGAAAATGGTATAGTAATCCCGCCTGCGCTAACGGGATACGCTGGCGGAGCACCAGTGAAGGATGATAGATGAGAATGAAAACAGGCCAGTTGGACCATCATGATGAATTCATCAGGAATTAACCATGATAATTTCCAGGGAGAACCGCGAGGAGTATACTGCTAGCAATAGGATTCTCAGTCTCCATTACTAACAATCCCTTTCCCCCATAAGACACATATTAAATGTACATGTACACATATAATGTCACAGGCGCATAAAACATATTTATTATTTAAAGTATCCAGTTATAAAAGTACAAGGCTAACACAATACTAAAAGCATTTTCTTTGAATAAGAAACTAATAGAGTACTTCAAAGTGGTTCAACATAATATAAATATAAATAAGTACCTCTTCCACAACATTAGTTGTGCCATCTATTGGTGATAAAGGTGAGCTTCCTCCAGTGCGTTCGTTACAATGTTTACTCGCTCCAGCTTTTCTTGTACAATTCTTCATAATATTCCATGCTTTTCTTAATGTAATTATGTCCCTCTGCAATATATTTTATTAGTTATCTATACTTATTGTCACTTATGGCTCATGATAAATTCCAAAGCTAGTTGTGAGCCATTAATAGGTTGTTCATGATAATGTGTTCACATTGTAAAAGAAAAGTTACTTATTTCATAAACTAATTTAAAGTGGACTGAAATCTATCTAGATGTGTGATGTATTTTCAATACCAGTAAAGTAATTTACAATAATTTTTATGATCAACAGTGGTCAGTTAAAGGCTAATATAATGATGATGATAATATTAAAATATCAGCAAGTGAGTTTAAATAACTGTCAATGGATACTCAGAGGGCCGGTTACTACTAGGTACATTTATAATTGCATACCGTACATGAGATTATTTATATTCAATATACATATAAAGATTAGATGATAAAATAGAAAAATGAGTAAATACCTTGTGTACATTAGGGTACGAATTAAATTTCGCAGCAATTAAATTCCATACTTCCTTTTTTTTATTAGCAGATAATTTGTCTCGTAATTTTGATTGAACCTGTGGGTATCTTTTTATTAATCGAGTCAATACAGTCCTTTCATAGATTGTCAAATTAGCAACCCTTTTGGACGTTGTTTTTGGTGAATCCTAAATTAAACAGAAACATTAATAAAAAATTACGCGCTTCAACAAAATTAATTATTATTACAAAATTATTTATATATTATGAATAAATGTATAAATACTCACCATAACTAAAAGGGCGATATTTAAACAAAAGTTTAAATAAACTTACTTTTTTTTTAAATAACACTGAACTCTCAGAAAAAATAAAAGTATTTACAACTTGTTCATTTGTCAACTGAACGTACGAGTATGCATGAGCAATGACCAATGTTAGTTTTTTTTATAATGTAGGTAGATTGAGAAAGTGTGAATGACGTTAGGTGTTACCATTGTAGAAAAGTGTAAAACCTGGATTGATTTATAAAAAAATGTTGTTTTGATCTTGTTTATTTATAAAAACAATAAGTTAATTATTTTCTAAATTATTATTAACAAGGCTTTGATATTTTAAACATAACATTATAAAAAATGTATCATAGATATCTAAATATATACATATATACATACACATATATCCAATCCATTTATGCAGATTGCATTCCATTATTCTATGGAAATAATACGGTTCGGCAAAATTTTAATATTACTAGTGCAGTTAATCACTAACACTAATCTGCACGAGCGTTCACAACCATATTCTCACTTAAAGTTTTTATTAGTTATGAACTGTTACAAATTTTAATTATTAGTAAATAAATTCTCGTTGGTGTAATAATAATAATAAATTTATTTGTTAGAATATGGTACAACAAGATGACACTGGTAAATAAACTTTTATCATATTCAGCTATACATCATACAAATATTATATATATAAAAAACTTTTCTGAGACAATAAATCTATTATAAAATTGAAATTCTTTGTTCTTAGAAGTTGTAATGCTTCTAATCACTTTATTTGTGTTCCGTCTTCGTCAAATCGTTACTTTTTTTTTATTTTTATACACTTCTAATCTGCGCTATATTTTAAGTACTGCTATGTTATCGTATGCCGTGTGTGCCCCGACTTAGAATGGGCCACCCCTTCCTTTCCCATGGGTGTCGTAAGGGGCGACTAAGGGAGTTTATGGTGGAGGGATGGGCAGCAGCGTCCCTCTTAAAACATCTGTAAAAACCTAACTGCGGTTGTCACCCCGCGTGCCAAGCGTGGCAACTACTAACAAAACTCCCCATATGGAAAAGACTTATGTTCAGCAGTGGACAGTTAACGGCTGAAATAATATGTCATAGTATAGGTTTGGGCCTTTGGTCCTAAGTTAATAACGCGATGGCAGCATGCCACTGCTGTACGCTCGGGCAAAGAGCACATATTTGCGGCCCATACCTGCACCCATATTTTTTTAATGGATGACAATGAAATGGTAAACCCCGCCCGTGCTAACGGTATACACCGGCGGGGCACCAGTGAGAAATGATAAGTGAGGATGAAAAGACAGGTCAGTCAGCCCATCGTGATGATACACTTAGAATTCAGCACGACGGTTTCCAGGAGGCAATTGGACCCTTAGTTTCTATTACTAACAATCCCCTTCCCCCGTGTGCTATATTAAGCAAATTGACGTAAGAATCTGCCCATAAATATTGCTCGTGAATTTGACTTGAATTGTATTACGTACCAAAGATATTGGGATCCTCTCCCAAAAGTGGCTTATGGTCTGGCGTGAAAGATTCCGGTCCACATACTGTGCTCTTTATACCAATTTTACCCAGCTTCGGGCAGAGGGTGGTGGCGCTGGTCATATGCACCCCGAATACATCCCAATCTAACTCGTACAGATGGAATTGTAAGTTATCGGGAACCTTTAGGACAAAGACAAACGTTATATTAGTTGCATGATTAATTCCGAATTATTTTTTATAACACTATATTATAACAAATAAGTAATGTTCCACTTGAAGGAAAGTAGTAAGTACCCGTTACGTGTTGCTATTCCTAAAGACTATATTGTTATGCCTTTATAATTTCACTACCATATGATGACCCTTCAAACTAAAACACAGCCATGCAAGAGCAGCTGCTTCATGGCAGAAATCCAGGTGGAACATAAAACTCAAAGTCCTAAATCATAAGTGTGTCACGGGAAGGTATTTGCCACAATAAATTACTAAAAATTCTTACTAATTGTGTTCATTTATAATTATTCCCACGTTAATAGTTTACTGCAAATAAGCATAAAAGCGATAAGCTGTATTTGTAATATATTTTGACATGAAGGCAGAGTATGACAACAATTACCTACTAAATGTTAATATGATTAATAAATATATGTATATAATTATCTATTATATATATTTATTAATAACAACAACAAGTATAAGCATTGTGTTATTATTATATCTAAACGTAACATGACCTACGAAGAAGCATCTCTATACCAGATCCAAATGTTAACATTTCGAAGTGGTTGGTCGAAACACTATTTTCATAAAATAATACAGCATTAATTTTCTATAATACGTAATCTTAAATATGAGTACCTCTTGCTTCATTTCTCATGAATTCCATCCATAGATTTTTTTGGAACTTAGAATGGCAATCACGCGGACGGCCCACCTGATAGAAAGTAGTAACCATAGCAAAGCATGGCATAGACATGAACAGTACCATGGATATAACAAAGTATATTAGGGGGAATAAATTGTTAGTACTGGAAGGTTAGTCCCCATTGCTATCAATATACCCTATCAGGTCGACCTTCACACAGTTCCCCCTGGGAAATATCGTGACAAATTTATCGTTGAATTCGTCACGATGGGCTAACTGACCTGCCTTTTCATCCTCATTTATCACCTTTCACCGGTACCCCGCCAGTGTATACCGATACCGCAGGCGGGGTTACCATGCCTTTTTTACTCATTAAAAAAAAACAGTATATTGGTGGCGTGATTCACCTTATACGTTGCCATTCTTGATTCCTGATAATTGATTCCCTCGAGGTTAAAATCAAGACATTAGGCTTTAACTGATATCAGTGTCGATAAATCGCAAAGTCAAGGTCTGATACCTTGACATTGACCTTGATAGAACCAACCCGATAAATACAGTTTCACAATAATAAAACTAGTTAAACTAATAACGAGAAAATTTATTTGATTTTTGTCTTGTTTGTAATGGATGAAAAATAATAAAATATCCATGTGAAGTTAGGACGGGTCGCTATTACAAAATACCAGTATAAAAATTATAGTGTACCTGTCTTTTAAAATTCAGTTAATTATTCATACCTGGTCCAACATATGCGGGTTTCCTTCATACCCTCCAATACTGCAAGTCTCACCCTGCATCTTCAAGTACAGATTCACGTCATGGTCCCGGATGTTGGGACAACCGCGTATCTCTGGGATTGCATCACACACTACATACGCGTGTTTGAATGGCACAAGTGGCAATGATGGTACCCCAGCGAACCTCGCGACACGGGGACCCCAAGCACCTATAATGATAATTATTTGGAATAGAAAATAGTACTTACCTTTATTAAAAAAAAAAATTCTTGTGTCTATATTTACTTTAAACATTTTATAACTTTTTTTAACATGATGTTATCTGTCATGGTGTATTGATTGGAATATATTGAGAAATGTGGATCCAAATATTAATGGTAGAGCTTTTGAGGGTTACATTTTTCCATCTAATATATATGTAGGATGCATGTTTATGCATGTATATATTGACAAAAATCATTACAAATTCAATCTGATGGGTTTTATTTTATTCACTACCACTTAATTACGAGTAGTATGGACAATCAGACGTAAAATTCTGGATTTCATACAGGATCATTTGTTTTTGTACAAGCTAGTGAATGGATACATTGATTGTTCTAATCTATTGAGCCTGGTCGAATAGATACATTCTATTTATTGCAAAGCGTTTCAAAATAAAGTCATTTGTCACGATTGCCTTTCAAATTCAAATCCATATTGTATGAATTCTATAGTTTTGATTAAGCAGCTTAATAGTAACATGGCATGTATCATCGCACTTATGTAGATTACAAGTGTACAAATATAGTATATTACTGAAGTCATTGCTAGTAATATATTCTATGAAGTTGACCACCTCGTGGTTTCGCTCGAAAAACATCATGATTAATTCTTGTGTTATTCATCACGATAGACTAACTGACTGGTGTCGCACCAGCGTATACTGGTAGCGCAGGCGAAATTACCATTGCATTTTCACCCATAAAAAAAGACAATTATTCATTACACCGCCATCGATCTTGATATTACTTATTAGCTTGAGCAATTCAGCTCGGGCCAGAACATTTTCCAAATTATTTTTTACTACAAAATCGTCACAGACGATGTGGTTTGCACAATAAGTCTTTAATATGACAAGATAATTTAATTAACTAATCTCTACGTTTATTTTCATAGGATTCATTTTTGCCTAACAGAAGAAATGTATTAATATTTTTTTACAAGGAAAAAATGTCTTGGTCGATGGAGAATTCATAAAAGTAACTCTAATTTTTGTAAAATTATGATGTCATTGTACGTAAATAACTCGTTAAAAACTATATATTGTTGTAAACAATCGTAACGTAAATAAAAAAGACGTAACGTACAGAAAAACAAAATAAATTATTATCTATAATACCTAAGAAATACAAATAAAAATAGACAAAACTCGATTATTTTATAATTAGTATTATCTGTAAATCGCTTAATTACCTCCACAATTAATGACACATTTCGTTTTAATAATCCCTTTGTCAGTGTGTACAGCAGTCACTTCTTTATTCCCAAGCAAGTTGTGAGTGTAATGTATATCTATGACGGGACGATCTTCATATACCTAAAATAATAATGACCTTTTTATAAAATTAATGTATATCAGTAAAACTTTATATAAAGAACAATTTAGTTGCGTGAAATAATGGTGAAGTTGACTTCACAGATGACGCTTAGCAAAGATAGTAATTTGATTATCCTTTCCTACTATCATGTAAGGTGATTATCGCGCCTTAATCACGCAAACACTACCCGCCCAAGAAGGAAATAGCTTGGTAATAATATACCCCAACCGATCGACCTTCACGCGGTTTCCCCTGGAAACCATCGTAGTTAATTCTTGCTGAATTCGTTACAATGGGCCAACTGACCTGCTTTCATCCTTACCTATTATCTCTCACCGGTGCTTCGCCAGCGTATGATCATAGTGCAGGCGGGGTTACCATTCCATTACCATCCATTTAATAACATTACCCGCTCATTAATGACCACTTGTGGGTAGTACTCGAGTAGGTAATAATAATATTTTCAAATCTCTTTGTGCCGGGAACAGATAAACCAGTCATCACAAAATTTGGCATATTATGTAATTCTGTTACATGCGGCTTTTCTATGTATAATGTGAATAATTATATAAAGTATTATATATTAAGTTAGAATATAACATACACATGTAACAAATTTTATTAAAATCGAGGACCTAACAAACATACAAACATCTTTACGCAGTTTCACATTCATGTTAATAGGATTTCCTTGTATTACATATTTAATACCATAAAATAATATATCTCAATCGATAAACATTTTTGTTGTGCTTTAGGGTTAAAATAAAATACAATAATACCTCGTACTTGCGCGATAGGTAGAACTGAGAAATCGCGTAAGTCGAGGTATAATTGTTTATGCATGTCTATGTATCTATTTCGCAGGGTATGTTCAAATATGCATATTAACTTAACAACATTGTAAGAGAACTATAGAGGTGTTTGACGTTCAAACAATCAAAACGACTAGATTTGAAAATTGCATAAATTATTGCATTTCATAAATCGGGATAGCATAAATCAAAGTATTTCTGTATCTAAGTTTATTTACAATATTCAAACGTTACCTTGGCGCCATTGCGTGTGGCAACTTTGAGGAGTGCACTGCATGCCATTGCCGGGTCTATAGTACCATCTTCCGATACATACAATGCCATTTGAAATACAGAAGGATCCAAAATAGGAACTTTTTTCTGTGCATCGTAAGGATCCAAAACTTCACTCGCGATACCCATAGCATTTCCCAGAGTGTGTAACCTCATGTATTCTTGAGTACGAATCTGTAATCAGGTGAATTGTTAGTGTAGGTATATGTCCTTCCACTATCTGACATTCATCTAATCAAAACATATATTAACACATTATATGAATAATATATTAACTATAGTTGTTACCTTACTTCGCGAAATAAACATTCCACCATTGTTGATCCACCCCGAATAGTCCTCGACTTCATTTGCTAAATTATTGTATACGTTCCTTGAATCTCGTAATAGTCGAACTTCCAAGTCGCAAGGCCGAAGCGACCATACAAGACCTAACATTCAACAAAACAAAAATATCATTTAAATTCTATATCTATCTCTCTATTTAAGTACCTATATATTATATCCCGCAAGGTTAGACAAAGGCATCCAAGTATCAAGGGCCTCTTTCTATTTTTATATTACTGTAATTTTACATACTACTTGTATGTAAAATTACAGAAATATGCGAGGGCATGACATGTCTCTGTGAGAACATTCAACTTATGTATAATAAAATCAAGAGACATATCACTTTAATTGTCTCTGATCTCTTATTTCTTATTTCATCAGCAAATAATAACAGCCCAGTAATATAAAATTTCTGCATTACACCGCAAAGTAGACCAGTGCATAGACAATAAATTGAGTTACACAAAAAAAAAAACAAATTCAAATATGGCAAATATATTATAGATAATTTGATTTAAAAACTAAACTACTAAACCGATTTTGATAATATGGTATCGATCTGTAAGTATATCCTTTCAGATAAGAAAAGAATTTTCCAAATATGTTTATACTATATTTTAAATGATAGAATTATGAGAAATATTACTAAGTTCACTCCAGAATACCTGGACCAATTCAGAAAATATTTATTTTTCTTTTTTTCATAAAAACTATTTGGATCCGTAAATGGCGGTAGGGGCAAAACAATATATACCAGATCGGCTAATAATAAATACCAACATTATACAAACAAGTTATTGATCGAAACAAAACAAATTAATAGAATATCTGTCACCCAGTACCTATGGACTACTTTAATGGAGCTCCTATTAAATAAATTGGCTCCTCGAAAGACATTCATGTAACAGTGTTTACACGCATACATTTATTTAGACGTTTAACCGACATCAAAAAAGAAGATCGTTAACTTGACTGTATCTTTGCATGTATCA